CAGACCCGCCTTCTTCCAGGGCGCGTGGCTGAGACCAGGGGACCGATCCCCGCACCGCAACTCTTCAGGTGTGCCTGCACACACCACGCCAGGGCACCCAGCGTGCACGCACCATATATGTCATACAAAATATACCAAACAATCTTATTCATCTTTATACCCACATCCCAAATGGCACCCTCCCATAACCCCCCACCCACCCACTGGAGCCCATATACTCTATCATCCCAGTTACTGTCCACTGTGTTTAGTGCCCCCAGCCGTTCTCCAGTTCAAGTACATCCACTGAGTCTAGTCAGCCCATCTAGAGGTCCTTGTTTTAGGAAGATACGTGTTCCTCATCTAGCAGCAATTAGTTGCCAACATTCCTTTAGATAAGATTGTGGTCTGCTGTTCATTTTCCCAGTTCTATGCTGGGTTACTGCCCAGGAGTCTCTTGGGCCACCCTGGCCAACAACTCAAAGGAAGGTATCTCCTGTCTGGAATTATTTCTTATTATGTAGCTTTTAGCTATACACATGAACTTTTAAAGAATTATATTGATTCCTTTAATCTTAGGTTATACTTTCCTTTTGGGTGTTTAATAACATACAGTTGGCCCAAATAAACCAACTTATTTTTACTCTTGAGGTCGTTTGAAGATCTGTTCTTCAGGGGTCACATGGGCTTGGGAGGAGCCCCTGGCTCCTTTCTTTTACCAGTTCCATCTATGTGAAGATAAGTCAAAGGTCCTGCTCGACCATGCCTGGCTTCGCTTGGAAGCATGGAGGAAATGTTTCCTCTGTGTTGACCCTCCTCTTTATAGACTGGACACTGGTTCAAGTCCATCTGGTGGGGTCTCCATGGCCTCCCTGAACAAGAGGACAGGTGACTCACCACAGTTACAGGACATTTTGAGAGATGCTCCATAATCCTTTGGAACTTAGTTAACCTTGGAGGGCAAGGAGAAAAACCTGTCCTTTAAGTGTCTCTGACCAGTTTAGTATAGGCCTCAAAGTATGACTGTTAAACATCCAAGAAGGTTAGTTCCACCAGTCCAGTACTTTTAATTATCATGTGCTATGTAGAAAAGCTTGAGCAAAAACCAGATAAACCTTGACTAGATATATATTTTGTTCCTTGAACTAGTTGTATGTGTAATTTATCAGTAGGTTGTTGGACTAATATGGTTCCCTCTGGTTTTATAAAACTAGCTAGGCATTATTTATCTCTTGCATTGTCTCACCCCTCCATCATGGTTTCCCTATTTAAAGTGCCCCCATTTTCCCCATTTCTCCCTTAATAATACCCTTCTCCTATGGTCCCACCTCTCTTGAGCTCCTTCTTTCCCTTTATCCCCAAGGTTCCTTATATAACCCTCTCTGCCCCCTCCCATTTAAATAACACCATTTTTATCCATATTTCCCTCAGTAACATGTGTTTCCTACTGTTCTCTTTCAGGTTCTTTCTTTTCCTTTACCTCCCTGTTTCCTTTCCATTATCCTGCTTCCTGTAGTTACGTCTGGATACATACTCACGTATAAGAATTTGGTGCTAGGATCCACATGTGAGGGAGAACATACATTGATTTTTTTCCTGAGCCTGTGTTACTTCACTTAGTATAACAGTTTCTAGTTCCATCCATTTACCTGCAAATTTCATGATTTCATCTTTCTTTACTGGTGAGTAGAACTCTATTGTATAAATGAACCACATTTTCATTATCCAGTCATCAGTTGAGGGACACTTAGGTTGCTTCCATCTCTTAGCAGCAACAAACATGGATGTATAAGTGTCTCTGAAATAGGATTAGTTCTTTGGGTATATGCCAAGGAGTGTTATAACTGGATCAAATAGTAGGGTCATTTTTAGTTATTTAAGAGTTCTCCACACTGCTTTCCATAGGTGTTTAACAAGTTTGAAATCCCACCAGCAGTGGATGAGCGCTCCCCTTTCCCCACACCCTCTCCAAGATTTGGTATCATTTGTTCTCTTGATCTTAGCCAGTCTGACTGGGGAAAGATGAAACCTTAACATGTTTTTAATTTGCATTTCCCTAATTACTAATGATGTTGAACACCTTTTAAGATGTTTCATAGCCATCTTTATTTCTTCTTTTGAGAACTCTCTGTTCAGCTCCTTAGCCCATCTTTTAATTGGGTTACTTCCTTTCTTGATTCCTTGTTTTTTGAGTTCTTTGTATATTCTGGATGTTAAATCTCTGTCACACGTGTCACTGGTGAAGATTTTCTCCCATTCTGTGGGTTGTCTCTTCACTTCCTTGGTTGCTTTTTTTGTTGTACAGAAGCTTTTTAGTTTACTGAGGTCCCATTTGTTGATTCTTGATCTTATTTGCTGAGCAATTGATATCTGGTTTATCCTTTCCTATACCTATATCTTGTAAGTTATTGTCAATGTTTTCGTCTAACAATTTCAGAGTTTCAGGCTTCACATTGAGGTCTTCGATCCATTTCAAGTTGACTTTTGTGCAAGGTGAAAGATACGGGTTTAAGTTCATTCTTCTACAGGTGGAGATCTAGTTTTGCCACCATTCACTGAAAATGCTGTCTTTCCTCTAGTGAATGTTCTTGCCCCTTTGTCAAATATTAGGTGGCTAAAACTGCATGTACTCATATTTGGGTCTTCAATTTTTTTCCATTGATGTATGAATCTATTTTTTGTGCCAGTACCATGTTGTTTTTATGACTACAGCTCTGTAATATTATTTAAAATCTGGTATAGTAACTCACCCAGCATTGTTCTTAGTGCTCAGGGTTGTTTGGTTATCTGAGGTCTTTTGTGTTTCCATATGAATCTTAGGATTTTTTCCTCCCAATTCTATGAAGAATGTCATAGGGATTCTCATTGACATTGCACTGAATCTACAAATCGCTTTTGGTAGGATGGTCATTTTCACAATTTAATTTTTCCAATCCATGAGCATGGGAGGTCCTTCTATCTTCTGGTGTCTTCCTCAATCTCTTTCTTTAAGGATTTAAAATTTTCATTGTAGAGCTCTTTAATGTCTTTGGTCAAGTTTATTCTGAGATTTTTTTTTTTTTTGAGGCTATTGTGAAAGGGAGTGTTTCTATGTGCTCTTTCTCTGATTGCTTGTTACTGGCATATAGAAAGGCTACAAACTGATATAATTATGATATAATATCATATCATCTGCAAAAAAAGGATAATTTGATCTCTTCTTTTCCAATTATTACTCCTTTAATTTCCTGCTCTTGTCTTGCTCTTGCAAGAGTTTCAAGTACTATGTTAAAAAGGAGATAGTAGACAGCCTTGTCTGGTTCCTGATTTTAATGGGAATGTTTCCAGTTCTTCTCCATTTAGAATGGTGTTGGCTGTGGGTTTGTTGTATATAGCTTTAATTATGTTGAGATATGTTCCCTCCAGTCCAATTCCCTCTAGGATTTTGAACATAAATGAATGTTGAATTTTGTCAAAGGCCTTCTCTGTGTCTATTGAGATGACCATGTGGTTCTTGTCCTTGAGTCCATTTATATGATTTATGATGTTTATTCACTTATATATATTGAACCATCCCTGCATCTCTGGAATAAAGCCACTTTGATCATGATGGATGATCTTTTTGATGTGTGCCTGTATGCAGTTTGAAAATATTTTGCTGAGTATTTTTGCATCTATTGAACAGTGTTAGAACATTTAAGATCTTGAGGACCCCAGGAGTTGAGCCAGATGTATTACTGAAATGTCCATGAGCCTTTGTGGAGTCAGGGGCAGAATGTTATCATTTGAAGTGTTCCCCACAGACTCATATTCTGAATGTTTGTTCCCAACGTTGGGCAGCATTTGGGAATCCATGGAACCTTAAGAGCTGGGGCCTGACTGGTGGAAATGGATGACGAGGTGTGGGCCTTTGAAGGTGATAACCCAGCCCCTGGTTCTAGCCTTGCTCTTTGCTTCCTGGTCTGTTGGCATGTGAGCAGTCTCTGCCCCATATTCCACCACCAACTAAAAGTCTCAGCCATGCCTTCTTTCCCTGCTTCTATGGCTAAAAATTTTGAAACCAACGCACAAAATAAATCTTCCCACAAGTTTTTTCTGTCAGGCATTTTGTCCCAGTGATACTGAAGTAATACACTGTCCCACTCAGCTAGCCTCAGACACCCCCTCATACTTCCTTTGTGGAATTTTCAATCTAAAGAGACTTATAAATGAGCTAAAAGGAAACTGTGACAGGGTATAGTTAATTTCAGCAAAGGGAAAGACATGATGCCATTACTAAGGAGGCCTGAGGAGACAGACAAAGAGGGAAGACTTGATGTGCAACTGTGTCATGGTCATCCTTTATGTGAAAGGATTTTATCTATACACTTAGTTAACATCCTCAGTGTCTGGATAATATTCTATTGTGGCCCCATAGTGCCTATAGCTGTGCCTTGCAAATGCCAAATGCTGAATTAATATTTTCTTAAGTTGAATACTTCACATGGAGAACAAATATCACCTGAGTAACAATATATTGCGATGTCATCAATGGAAGCCCAGTCTTTATAAACATGCATTTGGGTTGGTATTGTCATGTGCCATGGGCAGGTCATACAAGGCACAAGACATCAACTTGATTTTCTAGTTCTCATAGAGAACTAGTTACTTCCTGGGAGCTAGCTGGTGATCAGTAAACTTTTAAAAGTAATCATATAATTACTTTAGTTGGCTTGCTTTGGTATTCTTACCATGATTTAGAGATTTATAAGTAGAATGACCAAATAAGTCTTCAAACTAACTAGAGTAGGACTATATATGTGACAGCACTGAGAACAGTAGAGCACATGACACCTGCCCTTTTCCACTCTGAAATTCACTGAAATTCTGAGGTTGGAATTGCCTCTGTCCATGGTGATAATGCTCGTAGACTAGGATGCAGGCTGTAGCTGCATCATTTTTAATGGAAATACGTTCTAAGATTGTTATGTTATTGGAGTCCACAACAAGGGGCCGAGTTAAGACTCTCGCATGCCTTCACTGGCCACAATGCAGTCACTTACCTGTGTGTTTGTAAGCCACAGCCCCTGAGGTAACATCTTCCTGAGAGAACCTGTCCACGATGATTCCTGCCTTTCTCACCACTCCATGCAGAGGTTCTCGAACAATCAGAAACATCAGTTTCAAATCATCACTGTCCAAATCAGTAGCAAAAATGTATTGGGGGGTGATGATCACCTCGCCACCCTCGGAGCAGTGCATCATGGGAATGAGGTCAGCCTTTAGGATGGGTGGCTCATCATTTATGGGGAATATCTAAGCAGAGAAAAATGCACATTTTCAAGAAAAAGAAAGAAATAACAAATTTTTCAGCTGACAAATCATAGCTCATAGTTACAATGACAGATGTTTTCGATCTCCCAAACACAAGGGACAACAGCCATGGAATTGAGCCAACATAGTAAGCACCTTTCAACTTTGTCCACTGTGCCAAGAACGCTCCACATAAGAAACATTTTAGGTAGGAATGGGAGAAAGAGGTTACGGGGACTCAGAGCTCTCATGTGATTGCAAGAGACAAAAATAGAATAAAATATAAAACACTCCTCACTCAAACATGCAGCCTCCTTCACTAAGCTCACACATGCCAGAAAAATTCCGGTCCTTGTGGTCTGATGCATATACATTCACAGCATCAGTGCTATTTTCAGCTCAAATCACTTGATGATTTCAAAGCTTTTGACTACGCTCAACTGCCAGCCACACACCAAGTTTGCCTGGGTTCACAATAAACCACAGCTGCATTCCAGTGGCTTGAGTTACATGTTACACTCTATCACAGTTACAGCTCCAGGCTTCAATTTGACAAAACGGTTTTCTCTCATGCTCTTGAAAACAAAGCTTCAAATAGAAAGGAAAACAAAGCAACATGTGATCATACTGACTCTCTGGATTTAAAGTCCATGTGGAAATCAGAAAAGTATGTCTGTGAATTGGAAGCAAAGAGCACTCTGCCTGAGGTTCACAAGTGCAATCTGGTGCAAAGCTGCATGGGTTTCCTTGGTCATTGCTCTTTCTTCGCTTATCTATTTGGTTTTAAATATATAATTATCTACTTTCCTGTTGGCTTACGAAGAAAAAGACTCTCTTTGCTCATGTCCTCTGTGTGAGTCCATAAAGACCTCTTTGTCATTCTTGCTTTACTCTGAGAAATTTTATTAATCAGTTTACATGGATAACAACTGAGAAGAGTCCTTTTGAGCGAAAAAAAAAAAAAGCACAAACATTGTCTAAAAATTGTGTCTGGCTTTCCAAAAACATGTTGTTTCATTTAAAAAGCAACAATAAACAGATTATTTTCCCAAGATGCACTGCAATGCTTATCCAGAAATAAGAGGATGGTCTTTGGTTTTGTTTTGTGTGTTTTTGTGTTTGTTTGTTTTCTTTTTATGAGACAGGGTCTCCTTGTAGCCCCTGTTGGCCTAGAACTGGCTATATAGACCGGGCTGGCCTCAGTCTCACAGAGATCCACCTGCTTTTGCCTCCCATAAAGCCATGTGCCACCATACTGGGCTTCAGAGGCTGGTCTCATATAGAAGCTAGGATTGGGGGTTTTCCTACGATGGAAAAAGCATTGCTTCTCATGGAGACTTCCCAGGTCACCATAAGGACAAGGAGAAAAACTAGAAAAGGGACTCAACACCAAGCACAGCAAGGAGAAACAATCAAGACCAGCAGGTATTGGTCAGGTAGTAGCTTGGCTATACTGGAAGAACGGCTCAATTTAAACTGTCAAGTGAATGACCCTGAACAAGTTGTAGAATCTTCTAAAGCCTAAATGTTTGTAATTCAAGGGAGATAATCCCTTCTCTGACTGCTTCTTAAAACAATCGATGTATGTTAACACTTTTTATTAATGACCAACTAGAAAATATCTTACAAATACATAACAATTTTGTGTCACTAAAATGAAGATTATAATTCAAATAAGAAGAGACAGAATTTAGCACAATGAGAATACTCAGTGGCTTTCAAGGAACATAAATTTTTCTGTAGAACTTCCTTGATCGCTAACTGTAAATGCTTGCAAGTCGTATGAGTGGTGCTCATGGGTGGGTTACCCTCCCAAGAGAGAAATGCCAAAGTTGTTAGAGTCCTTTGGACATGTCTCAACTTTGTGTGTAGACTTTTCTTCAATTGTCAAAAGGGAGGGGAAAAATCACCTTGAACAGACCTTATGCCAGGATTATGTGGCATATGCATTCAAAAGTGCCGCTCATGCACACATAGCCAAGAAAACCTGTCGTGCTGGTCCCATCCTCCCAGTTGTTAAATAAACTCTTGAGTGGCATAGTTCAAAAACATTAGCTATATTTTATATGTGGAATGAATTACTTTGTAAATAAGTATCTGGGATTGAGGCTAGAGTAATTCTAACTTTAGATGAACTGGAGAGAGATAGTATGTCTATTTCACCAAAATAACCTTAATGACTATTGCCTGATTCCAAATATACATAGATAGATGTAGCAGCAGTCCTTTTTCTTTTAAAGGCTGTGTATTTTAAGTTGTGTGGGTGCAGGAGAGATTTCCAGAATAGATACTTTATTTTCAAATGTCCAAGGGAAGAAACTCTCTACCTACCTCGATATGTAGAACAAATTCTACCGAATTTGTGCCATCTGTGACCTCCAAGTATATGCCATCTTGAAGACCCTCAGATCCATCATGTTGATACCTGTAGGGATAATATTGTAGCTAATCTCTCAAGGCTATCATGAGTGTAAACTGAGATGTATGACACAAGAACTACTCCATGATTTTAGCCACGTGTTCACAAAACAAATAAACATTTAAATAAATGAATAAGCAAAGAGCCAGCATAACTGAATATAAACATATTTAGCTACTGAAGTATTCCCAAAGTAAACCTACTGAGAAAGCATATTGTATGAATTGATCATTTGTCTCCAAATCAAACAGTTAAAAGTGCAGACTGCTTGGGCAGAGGATCTGAGTTCAGTTCCCACCGTCCACATCAGGCAGCTCATAACTGCCTGTATCTGGTCTTCATGGGGCCCAGCACACACCCATATGCAGACATACATACATATACATAACTGAAAACAATTTTAAAAATAAACTTCAAAAGCAGCCTTTCAATTGCTTCTGTGACAGTGGGAACCATGCGTTGTATTTGCATAATAGAAGAACACACTGGCTAGGGTCAGAGAAACTCTAAGACTGAGAAGTGGAATTCCAGGAGGACTCGCTGAGTGCCTGTCCTTGCACACTTTCTGCCTGTGCCCTGGAGCTGTTCCACGCTTCTCTCAAGCCTTGATCTATGAATCACCTCCCTCCACTGTTTTCCCTTCTCCACTTACAAGCTCTTTCTCTCAGCCTCTAAAAATATCTCCCTTTTCCCCAGATTAAAAAATATCTTTCTTTGGTCCTATCCTCTTAATTCTCAGTCAAGTTTCCTGAAGAAATTGTATAATTCTAGACTTTTCATGTACTTTATAGCTCACTGCAGTGATGCCCAGCAGATTCTAAATAGATGTTGAATTTAATTGAGTTCATTTTTTAGCATGTCAATGATTTGTTTGTGATACTAACAAATTGAAATATACCTCAAGAGCCAAAAATAAACTATATAGTATATTGAACTTATCTGATGTCCTTCTATGGAAAAGGGGGTGACATTTTATTCAAAACTGGTTTCACTAGTAGGTTGTGCAGGGGTTCAACTGATTTTACCAATACCAATAGCAAGGAAGGCCCACAGCCTGCCACTCCCTTACTATTTTTCCATGTCCTTTACTCTTCTCCAAAAAATGCATATTGATAATTATAATATGCTAATCTATTCTATAATGCTCACACCCTGAACAGTCAAGTCTGCCTGAGAATACACATACAAAAGTATGGCTGTGACGTCAAGCACGTGTTCTTTAAAAACCTGGCTCCCTGGAGGTTGGAGAGATGGCTCAGCAGTTAAGAGTGTTGACTGCTCTTGCAGAAGACCCAGGTTCGATTCCCAGCACCCACATGGCGGCTACGAACCATCCTTAACTCCAGTTCCAGGGGAATCTGACGCCCTCTTCTGACCTCTGCGGCATTGCACGACACAGGTGCGCTCACATACATGCAGGCAATACGCTCATACATATAAAATAAAAATAATAAAGTATTTTCTTTAATGTTTAAAAAAATCAACCAATCAGTAAAAACCCGGCTCCTCTCTGAACTAGCAAAGTCCTTAGCATCTCTGTGCTTAGCTCTTCAACTTTGAGGATACAACGATCTACCTTGTCAGGCCTGATCACAGAGAAGATTAAGTAACGTTAAAGAACATAACTACAACTCTTTATGAGAGTGCTTGAATATATAATCTAGCAAATATTGGTGTTTTTCTATCTATCATTCATTCCTAAGCATTGCATTAAACAAGGCTGTTTTTCTAACATGCAGCTGGGAACTGAGACCCAAAGTGGAAGCAGAAAAGGAAGTTTTAATGGAAATAGGTGAATAGTGAAAAGAAATGGGGAGCTGTCAGATTTGAATGGCCTCATACGCACCCGCTGAGCTTCCTGGTCAAGCGCAGAGCTCCATATCTGATGCCTAATATTTCCTACCACACTTCATCAAAAAGACCAGGACTTATATTTATTGTATTTAATAGGTGAAAAATTAGTGTATCTGTCTGCCTGACCATTGCTTTTAAGTAGTTTGTATTGTTTTCCAGAGAAGACTTTTTACTAAATTTTGTAAAAATGTTTTTTGCAAAGCTGTATTAAGTAGAGCAAATGAAAGATCTTAAAAGTGAGGACGCCTGTGAGACCATAAGCAGACCATAAGCATCTCTGGCTCTCAGAGACCTGAGTACTTCACGGTCAACCCACCTAGCAGATTCTATTTATTTGTTTGTAAATCTCAGCCCAGTAGAATAAAACAAATCTTAAAGTAAAAAACATTGATTAAAAAAGTTCATTCTCTCTCTCTCTCTCTCTCTCTCTCTCTCTCTCTCTCTCTCATTTCTATCCCCTCATCCCACTTTACCATGTAGCTCAGGCTGACCTTGAAGTCGCAATCCTCCTGGCTTAGCCTCCCAAGTGTCAGGATTACAGATAGAGGTTATCATATCTGGCTGATCAACAGGGTTCCACCCCTGAGTTTCCAAAGCTATGAAATTGCCTTTTCTTAGAGCCAAGTTCAATTAGCTGCACAGATTGTTTTGGTCTCTATTTATTGAGTTGGTGATATATAGCGTTGTAGCAATTTTAATATTCATGGTAATTAATTTTGTTGAACAAATATTCATAAACTCATTCCCACTGCTACAGCAAGCCAGGGAGGAATAAAATGTCTAGAGAAAAATGAAAAATACCATCATTTCTTTGATTTTCAATTGACCTTTCAAAGTATGAAGTGGCATATTTTTCTGGAAAGAACTGGACAAATGTCTTTCCCTTTACTCTGCCTCACAGTTGATCCAAACAAGGAACCAAGGCACATAAAGGAAAAGCTACAAAATTTTCTAACCTAACTTTTAAGGTTCGAAGTTCTCCCCAAGAGAATGTGCCTCCTGTGTTTAGATGAAATCCATTCAGCTCTATCCTGCCATGCAAAGGCAGCCTTTGCAGAGAAAGACAGACACTGTCCAGTGGGGTATCCTTGTCAGAAACCAGAATATGCTCGGTGCTGATGATGCATTGACCTCCCTCGGCCACTCTCAGAGTGTTGGTGAGTACCTAAAGAAAAAGAAGGAGACACTCAAGGCCTTGTTCCACAAGGCACCCATGAACACAGAATTCATTAAATACCTGGAAAGCTCTTCACATGTCAATTAACTTTTCAAGAATGTCTGTAAGTCCATCACTGCACAATCTGCCTAAAAATGTTTTTATTAAATATTTCTAATTCTAACTATTGATATAGACAAAGAAGGAAGAGAGAGCTGTGACCCGAAAGCATCTACATTTCAGAGCCTCTGTAGCAGAATCAGTGCCTGCAGTGTGGAACTGAGGGTCTAGCTCACCATCACACACAGCATTTGCCAAATTCCCATGCAGGAAAGGATCTAGCTCTTCTAATTCACCCTAAAAATTCTTAAGAAACTGGGAAAGTTGATCAGAATTTCATGTTAGAGTGTTTTGCAGACAGAATAAGGGTAGGGGACTTGGAGACCAGAAAGTTAAGGTACCACAGGAAATAGGTTCATTCAAACATTAGACTTAAATATTAAAGCCACCAAGACAATTTCAATATAGGAAAACCAAGTACTCACCTTAATAATAATTCATTTATAAGCAAAAAGCAAGTTAGATAGCACAGCTTGGGGCACTGTTCATCACACCAAGAATGGTCAAGAAATGTTCTATGGGGCCAGAGAGATGGCTCAGCAGTTAAGAGCACTAGCTGCTCTTGTGGATGACCTATGTTCAACTTCCAGCACCCACATAGTGGCTAATAATCGTCCATAACTCCAGTTCCAAGGGACTCTGACACCCCCTTCTGACCTCTGTGAGCACTGCACAGCACAGGTGTACATACATGCACACAATCTACTCAAACACACAAAATAAAAATAATGAAACATTTAAAAAGTTTTCTATGATCAGATAAGTCTAGGAAAATGCAAACTACCATCTGTCACCTACATTTATAAGGTACATGTGAATATTCCAGGCTCTGAGACTTATAGCAAAACAAAAAACAAAAACAAAACTCAGTTAAGTTTACTTAATACATCAACTTCACAGAAGAAAGGTAGCAGAGAGAGTTGGGGTTCCAAACCCTGGGCTCCAAGGCCCCTCCCAGAAGGCCTGTGGTGAGGACTCTAATTTGAGGACATTGTGTTCTTGTGGAACGAACCTGTTCTCCTTAGAATGTCACTTGAAAAGAAGCGTCTGGGGGAGTGACATTGCAAGGCCAAGGAGAAGACAGTGAGGAGGAGGAACCCACGGCCTCCAGGCTTCCAGCGGGGCTCAGTGCAAGGAGGAACCCATTCCACAGCCACCCGGGGCTCACAAGCATGTCTCTAGAACAGCACCTTGGGTCATAGACTATAACTCAGAGGTGACTGCCTATATTTTTAACAAACTACCATCAGCGAAGTTCAGTTAGTCCCACTTGGGAGGCTCCAGGCTAGCATGGTGTCAACATGCCCTAGTGGTTGCCACGCAACTCAGTTTCATAGCTAAAGATCACTCCTGTGGCTGCTTTCATTGAAGTGCTAATTCAATTTCTAATAGTCTCAGTTCTTTGAAGTGCTATTTGATCTTTCCTGCATAGTGTAAACAAGAGAGAAGTCAGCATCTGTTTTAGTCTCAACAGCTCCTAACTATTCCATCTTCTTTGGAATGAAGTTGGCTTTTCTGTGGCCTCTTATAATTTCCCGCACAGATCAGCTTTCTCTAAGCTTGGACTTCTTTTCCTAAAAGGGTATTTCTTCACGGTTGTCATGGGGGAATCTTTGGCTGCTTTACATGCTATGCCATATCGGGTCTGAATTAAAATCTAACCAAGTTAATTCCATAGACATTCTCATTTCCATCACCAGCAATAAGATCAGGTCCTCAGTAGAAGAGGTATGACAGATAGAGCTGGTTCAGATGCTGAGGTATGAGCTCCTTGGCACATTCTGATCACAGATTTCAAGCTCACCAGCTTGAAATGTTGATTCACTGACACAATGAGTGTGGTGACTTGGTGGGGAGGGCTTTGATGAGTGGTCAGTATACCTTGTCCCACAGCTGTGGTGCATGTAGGCTCAGTGTTGTTAGAGCTTTCATATTTTCAAGAGAAATCCTAAGCCAGATTTGTTAGGAAATAATTTAAAATTAAAATATTAAGCCATTTCTGCATGTCGAATAAGCACCTCCCCCTTGGTCATTCACCAAGACCTTTGTTTGCCAACCCAAGGCAAGTGCAGAGACAATGAAGCGAACTCCAGGGCCGGCTAGATGCAGCCAGGCAGACAACCTGGAAAAGTGACTTCCTTCCTCAGAAGGCTGGGGAGGCTCTGGGGCCCTCTGGTTTGTAATGAATGGGGAAGGTCCCTCTGTCCTTCCACTTTTAGGGGAATAATGATTCCAATCACTGTCACACTGGGCGAGCGTAGTACTCTGAAGGAGGAGGGAGACAGGATCCAGAAAAGGTTCTTAGCTGGAAACCCAGCCTGACAGAGAAGACCTGCCAGACAGCAATGCCTCTGTAGTTTGGTTTGAAAGAAAAACTTCATCCCTTAAGACTTACATAAACATGGGGCAGTGGCACAAGGTAAGATGAAAAGGTCCGTCTTAATTCATTTTGGAAAATTAAAAAGCTTCTTTGGATTACACAGCATCATAGTTGGCCTGTGGTGAGAGCGAATAAGTTCTTCTGGTTGCTAAGAAACCCATCATTTAATCCTTCTCCTAATCAACATGGGAGGCTCAGTAGAATGAGAAGGAAATGAAAGAGATTTTGATACAGCTTTGAAATAATGCCAAATTTAGCAACTAAAAAAAAGAAGGGAAAAACCCTCACCTTTTAGATATGAGGTCCCATGGGAGGGAGAGCCCCCTACTCCCTAAACCCCTGTTTTTTTCCCTATACCATAGTTGGAAAATTACTCTTTTCTTTCTGTCCCTCCCTTTAATCCTCCATATCAAACCCTGCATACCTCAGGAACTTGATTGTCCACTGGGAGAATTGTAACATTGAAGCAGATTCCCTGCAAAGCGCCTCCATGTTGGTTGCTGACAGAAAGTGTGAACTGCACATGTTGGGGACTGGGACCTATATCTTGCATGGGCGGCATGTAGGCCACTTTCATATGGTTCACGGCATGCTGGAAAGCAAATTGAGATGAACATATGGGTATGAATTTGCAGGGCAGAATCCTTCAGAGACCTACGTCCAAGATCACCATAGTGTTCATCGATACTGAGCACAGCACACATCACCACAGACTCACAAAGCTCTGCTTTATAAATCACATTTTCTACACATAATGAGAAAAAACTGACGAGTATATCAAGAGATTGAGTCTAACCACCTCTGTACAAGACAGGAGACTTGAACTCTATTCAGTTCTTCCATGCAGGCATTATAACAGCAAGCTGTGCAAGCATGCCAAGCTTCCGTTTGTAAAAGCAGTTAAATAAAAGTGCTTAACATATTCACAACCTCTAACTACAAAGAATCAGACATAATGAACTCAAACCCCTGGAGCCTCTGCTGCTTGAGCATGCACGGGGGAGGTGGGGGGGGGCACAGGTGTGATAGCAAGCAGAGAGATGAGAAGGATGTGACTACATGTAAGCCAGGGAATGCGGAAGCCCGCTGGCCTTTTCTATAAGCACTATAAGCTAAAAAGCAGTGAGGAAGGATTGCCTAGAGGGTTCAGAAGGAGATGGCCCACAGATACTATGATCTCACATCTCCAGCTTCCAGAACTATTAGAAAACAGGGCTCTTGTTTTGATAAGACAGTGTGTGGTACTTTGTTATGGTAACCATGGGAAACTAGTAGAGTAATGAATAACCTGGATTGGATGGAATAAAACACAAGCCTGGGGTTCCAATTTAGTGTCTTGTCATTGGAAAAACAATGCAAAAGGCTGTGCTGATTTATAAGATTTTGAATTACATTCAACCCAATAAAGCCCTTAACAGATATGAGGCATGGTGGCAGACATGAATGGCCACTATTCTCAGGCCCAACACTGGATATGCTGTACCTCCTTGGAAGACGCTCGTGTTGGCCTCCATTTTACAAACTCTCATACCTGAGTAAATGACATCAGCCCCAAGGCTGTAGGATTTTTGGCTAGCTTTGATATGCTGTCCACCATGAATAACTTCCCAGCATCCAAGTGTCTAAAGAGAAATACAGAATGCATCAGCTAATTTTTCAGTTATGAAATAGTAAATCATTCATAATCATTTTCTAAACAAAAACATCTCATTTTGGGGAGAAACCAGGTGCTCAGAGGCTTGTAGCCTTGAGTTCCACGTCATAGATACCATCCTCATCGTGATGACAAAATGTGTGCCCAAAATGTTTTGCCATGTTAACATGAAAGGCAATTATTCATCTCATTCCCAAAGTGCTCCCACAGTAACAGCACAGGACACTAGCCTAAGGAATAGTCATGCTGTTTTTTGAACTGAGATTACAGAATCTGACCATGGAGTGGCCTGCAATATTTAAAACTAATATGAAGCCTTCAATAAGCTTTATTAAAAAGAAAAAAGGAAGGGATGGAGCGATGGCTCAGTGGTTAGGAACACTGGCTGTTCTTGCAGAAGACCTGGGTTCAAATCCCAGCACCCATAAGGCAGGTAACAATTGTCTGTAACTCCAGTTCCAGGGAATCCAACAGCCTCTTCTGTCCTCTGTGGGCATTGCACGACACATGCACTTACCTACATGCAGGCAATATAGGCATACACATAAAATAAAAATAATAAATAAAATGTTAAAAAAAGAAAAAGGCACATTTAGTTTAGAAAAGTGGGAATTAGACTGTCTAGGCCTCTCTGTGCTGAAAACTGCAAACTGCATGTCACTCACTAATTAACGCCACTACTGAATTTAAGAATGAGATAAGTTTGTGATACTAATAAGTTGGGTGTATTTTCGTGTCTGACCAATGAAGCAGCTAAACCAAATTGCTGTCTATTGACCCTTTGTCTCTCCACTCCTAAAACTGGTGAATCACACGATAACTTTTCAAAGACACCTGTGGCTGAAGGAGAAAAACGGAGGACTTGTTACTGTGTAGAGCAGTTCCCCTTCGCATGATTCGGTATCAAGGAAATGTAGGTGCTTCTTAGTTATGTAAGCCACTTCTGTTTCCTTGACAACCAAATGCCGAGAAACTCCAGGAGCTTCTTTTGGAGGCTGGTCGCCCACTGGAGTGATGTGGATCGTCGCCACCTAAAATGAAAATACACTGCTGTACTGACTTGAAATACAAGAAAACATCAAGGAGAACGCCAGAGAATCACCCAGTCACAGTTGAGATGACATCCCCAAACTGTCATATACAATATATTTCCGTCAAATGGTTTAGGAGCTACTAAAGGTGTGAACCAAACATGGACCAACTTTTATTTATTTAATTTTAAGTTTTGAAAGCATAATCATTACGATTACAGCTCATCCATCAGAAATGTTGTAGAACGGGCACACACAATGCAAAATGCATTCCTTTTCATTTTTCTATCTTCTCTCTACCAATAACCTATGTTCCTCTGACACTTCCTTCTTCTCTGCCATCAATCCTAGAAACCCTAATGTTGCTCTTGTTTTCCCCTTCTCCACCCAACACTGAACCTATTGCCAAGTTTCTACCTGCAAAGTTTGTGTGCAGAGGCATGCCATTCCTACTGATGCTGGCCCACCTATCATTCTTTGTCACATGACTACAGCAGCTTTCCATCAGCACCAGCTCTCCTTGCTGTTCTGTACTTTCATACCTCCTGTGTTATCTTCAAAAATCCAAGTCTAAGCAGTTAATTCACTTTCTAAAAATCTTAAAACAATCACACAGCAAGTATACAATCATTCAAATTCCTTAGCATGATATCCACAAGATCTTTTACAGTTTATACATACTGTATTTTTTGATATTTTTATTGCCTTTCAAAATTGATCCAACACTCAAAGATACCTCTGCTTTATACATGTTGTTTCTACAGTCTTGAATGCTCTTCTCTATTAATCTGAATATTTTCATCCTTACAGGCTCTTCTTGAAACATCTTCCAGGCTCTCAGCTGAAACTCTTTCTACACTTTCCTTATCCCTTGCAGTTCCTGTGACTGTTTGTGTCCCCTTCAAAATTCATGTTGAAACTCAATCAGTACTGAGATGATTAGGCCATGGGAGTTCTGTCTAAATGAATGAACTAGTTTCTTATAAAAGCACTTGAAGGGATCAGCTTGTCCTTCCACGCCCTCTACCTTGTGAGGACATAGCACTTATCCTCTCAAGGTAGCCCCTTGGAAGTAAAGAGTGACTCCCCAGACACCGAACCTGATGGTACTTCGATCCTGGACTTTCCAGTCTTTAGACAGTGAGGAATGTTTCTGTGGTTTATAAACTACCTGGTTATTTTATTATAATGATTAAAAATAAAACCAGTTATCAAACTAAAGGAATACAAGGGGCAGTCATATTTCCAGACTCCAGGAATCTATGTCATGATTTTCCTTCCACTTACGGTATTTTGCTAATCTACAAAGTTCAGAAATTCTCCATGGGCTCGCATAGCCTTAGTGTGTATCAGTGAGTCTCTCCTTAATTGAAAAACTGGATTTAATAAGGAAACAATAGTTAGTGTGCCTTCAAAGAGACCATTTTCCATGCTAATTTATTCTCCAAAGTATTCTTTATGAAAGAAGAATGTAAGAGCATGCTTTTTATACCCTGTAGCAATTCTTGGTGGGCACATTTTTCAACATGCTTTATGATCGCCTAACTTGATGTGTCTTTACATATTTATGCATGCCCAAACAATTAGAGTGTGTATGTTTGTGGGCAAGAGAAATTCCATTTTAACGAACTCCACAGAGAAATAAAGCATTCTTAATGTTCTGAAATCTTTTGGTAACAAAGACATTATTAAGAACCCGTTCTCAGGCAGAGTGGGAGCTGTTCTCAAGCCAGTCACCAGTCTCTGCTCTCTCTTTTCCCCCAAGCCTCCAGTGTCCTCATGGCCATAAGAACACACAGATAGACTTACGAGGAATCAGGATATGAAGTGAGAGGTCAGCATACAAAATGACCAGGTCAGACTTTGACCCTCAGGTGCAGGCTCTGCTATACTGCACCAGGTAGCACCTGCCATTCTTGTGGTCTGAATTCTTGATCCTTCAGGCACCTTGAGCTCTGATTTGTCTGCTCTTTACTTTTCTTCTTTGTTTGGGACTATCACTATTACCTCTCATTCTCAGGAATGACTTCCATTGGCCACTCCTGCTTATAGGCAGTTCTGTGCAAGTTTTTAGGAAAATACAATAAATGTTTGGCCAGGTAGATTAAAAATGCTGATGAGAGATGCCAGAGAAAGAGGGTGGTGCACACACAGATCTGAGATGGAGAAAGTCATCACTCGGTATCTGTGGAGAACAGGTTCTAGGACCCCTCCACCACTCCACTGTGGATGCCAAATCTCTGGATGCTGAAGCTCCTTATACAAAATGGTGATGTGTTTGCATATATCCCACACACATCTTCTTTTATACTTTTATACTTTTATACATCAGCTCCACATTACTTATAATATTTAATATAGATGTGTGTAAATAGAGGTGATAATACCACTTCCAGAACAATGACAAGACAAAAAAAGAACATGAACACATTCAGTACAGACGCAATTTTAAAATATACTATCATCAGTTGGCTGACTCGTTGGATGTGAGACCTACAGATATAAGGAGAGGGTCAGATATATTTAAGAGCCAGAAAATACATGGTGCATGAAGACAGGGAAAGTCTGTAGACCTCTTTCTGTCTCTGTCTCCCTCTACTCCATAAATTTAAGAACACAGAAACCAAAAATTCTTAACTATGAATCCTTTAAAAAACCATCCATCATAGGGAATAAATTTATAATTATAGCTACAGAATTTAGATTTCTAAATAATTCCTTTCAGGAATTTCCATTACTTTAGTCTTCATTATAGAGAGATCTATTTATCTTCATGTATATGAAAAAAATTCATATAATATTTAACAACAAAAAAAGAAAGAGGTCCTGAAATTTCAAGACAGAGCTCATTAAAAGTGATGTGACATTCCAGAAACATACTTCAGCTTTAACAGATGTACAGAAGATTTAGAAGTAAGTTCTATTAATAGTTGCCATTTTGAACTATTAAATCAATCTCAAGAAAAAGTTTAACCCAGAAATTATATGCAATACACTGATGAAAAGAGGGACCTATTATTTTTAAAGGAGTTGACTTCTTAGTAAAAAGCAGATAAATTACAGGTTTTTAAAATTCATCCTCTGCTGGGCATGGTGGCGCACGCCTTTAATCCCAGCACTCAGGAGGCAGAGGCAGACAGATCTCTGTGAGTTCAAGGCCAGCCTGGTCTACATAGTGAGTTCCAAGACAGCTGGAGCTACAGGGAGACCCTGTCTCAAAAAGACCAAAACAAAACAAAACAAAACAAAACAAAACAAAAACAAAAAAAAAACCCCTAAAAAACCTCATCCTCCATTCCATCTTAAAAGGCATCATTGACTTCCCTCAAATTTCAGGCCCTGCGATATTGTCCTTTCTGATCATCCCCTTCTGTTACAGCCCTGTTAGCAAACAGGTGTAAAACTCAGCATTGGCTAACACCAATGGCTGAGATAAGAATCCATTGCAATAGAAATAGGACACAAGCTTTAAGTATTCTTTCTCAGACAGACTTGAGATTTGCTTGTATCTATACAGAGGCTACCTTTAAAGGTAACAGGTATAAAATGACCAGCAAAAATACTGTACAAAGTAGCAATCACTTAATTTCAATTGTCCTTTTAAAATTTGTAACCCTATTCTTAACCACCCTTGCCTTCCAAAGAAAAATCTACATTTTACAGTTGTCTATTTGCTACACTGATACCATCTTTTATCATTACTATATGAAAAATGTTTTCCATCTTATTTCTGTTTTCTGTAGATTTAAATCATAACCTCTAATGCTAGTAAAATCTTAGATCTTAAAAATCAGTCAAATAATTTATTATGTAAGCACTTTATAAGTATTATGTCACTATCCCCATAAGAACTCTGTAAGGAAGGTTCTACTATTTGTGTTAAAGAAAAATAGAGGGGCACAGGTTGACCGGTTAGTATCACAACCAGGAGGAAAACAAAAAGTCTCACCCTAGAGTCTGAAATTTAAAAATTGTATAAAAAACAAAACAGTTGTTTTCTTGGGTGCTAAGACGTGAGCAAATATTGTTATTCTGAGGAGATCTAAGGAAAAGCCCCATGGCTAAGTAAACTTAGAGTGACTATGTAGAAATGCAAAGTACTTCAGAAAAGTGGGTGCTAAAGTAGTCCCAAGGCAAAGAAATTGCCTTAATCTGGCTTAATCCATTACTTCTCAAACTCTGAATTTAAAATCTACTTTCACGTACTTTTAAATAATATATCTTGGAGCTAGTACTAGCACAGTAGACTTAAGGAAGGTGTTCAGAAATAGTTCCTCACCTGTGGCACTGAGAGATTTGGGGGTTCGTGGCTGTCCCACAGAACAAATTCAAAAGAATCTTCAAAGATTTCTCCACCAAAGTGACGATAGTAAATGATGCCATTAAACAAGTCTCTCTGAAGGAAGCCAGGGACAGGATAGCCTGATGGGGACCACAAAGTACCACATACTTTTAGGTGTTGGGGTACAATGATATGAAACTCATCTCCCAAAATCTCCACTGCTTAGTACGTTGTATGTACCCAAAGATTTGTATTAAACATTTTTAACAAAACTTAGAGTGGAAAACTAAAACTGCTAGTCCTGTTAATATGAAGATTAACATTTGGGAAGAACATGTCCAAGAAATATCTTTTATTACAAATATACAAAGGGACACCACTTATTTAATCCCTGTTGTCAAACTCCTGACCTGCCTATTTTGAGGTAGTTACAAAATGAAATCATCAAAATCTAAGGAAATGCTGTTCATGAAATTATTTGATGAACCATCTAGAATAGGTCAAATATCTCCCTTCAGACGTATTTGTTCCAACTTAGCCAACTTAACTTTAAATAGCACTATTGCTACCTTGAGGCTCAGCTCTAGAACTTGTGAGATATACCATCTTGAGGATATTGACTTAATTTATCTGAGTCTCAAGTTTCCTCTGGATACAATGGGACAGACAATAGTATTTTACTTTATAAATGTGACACCTACCCTTGCACAAATTTGACGTGATACAAAGTTCTCTAAGAAAGCTTTAATTCCATTCAAGTTATCTTACCTGTCTAGAACTTACCTATCAGTCCTGGCCCTGGCTTCTTCATGATCTCCCCAGCCTGTGGGGACTTTGTGATATTAAAGAAGATGTAGTCATCACTGGAGTCCATGTCTGAGGCTCTCAGCATGGACCCCCGAATCAAGATAGTCTGCCCCTCTTCCAGCTCAATCACAACATTGGTTATGAGGAATGGGGGGCTATCATCTTTAGGCAAGATGTTGATAGGAAACTTGTGACGGGTGCTGTGCTGGCCATCAAATATCCTGAAGAGCACAGAGTCTCTGGTGGAGTCACTGTCATCATGATGATAGCGAACAACTCCAGCCTGAATGTCAGCCACGGTGAAGAGAAACCCTTTCCCCTCTGATGGAGAGAGCAGAGATGGCGCTGAGTGAATGAAGGGAGGACCAGAGGCGGCAGCTGCAGGGAGACCTCGCAATAGGATGCAGGCTATGGAGAGTGCTGCCAACATAGATGCTCCCAAACTTGCCATGGGGTTATGCCCCATAGACCATCACAAACTGAAAAATCGTAAGTCAAACATGCTTTGAGTAGTTCCTATGATACCCTCAAGATGTTAAAAAAAATAAATGTAAGTCAAGGATTGTCTGTAGATTGTTCGGTTTAGTGGGCTCTGGGACACCACAGCTGGTTTTGAATACTCATTCACTGTGTGGACTTGAAAGAAGTATTTGAGACTCTGTGAAATGGAAAATCATAGTTATGGCTGATTTTAGGTGTCAACTAAGGGATACCAGGATAGCTCTTAAAATATTATCTCTGGGGGCTGGAGAGATGGCTCGGCAGTTAAGAACAGTGGCTACTCTTGCAGAGGACCTAGGTTTGGTTTCTGGTATCCACGTGGTGGCTAACAACTATCTGTAACTCCAGTTCCAGAGGAATTGAGATGACGCCTTCTTCTGACCTCCTTGGGCATTGCACATCATGGGTGCACTTACATGCAAGCAATACACTCATACACATAAAATAAAAGTCAATTAAAAAATTAGAAAAAAAATTCTTTCTGAATAGTTCGATAAGAACAGCATTTCTAGAAGGCAGCAGCATTTGAATCAGTAAGTGGAGTTAAGAAGGTCCACTCCCCATTGTGAGTGAGTATCATCCAATCTGTTATCCACCTAACTAAGACAAAAAGGCAGGGGAAGGGTGAGTGCCCCCCCAACTCTTGACCTCACATAGGCCACTCCCACACTTCTGACACCACCCTCCCCTACACCTTGTTTCTCAGGCCTTTGACCTTAGACTGGACTGAGAATTAGTCTATCAGCTACCCCAGTGTCAGGCCTTGGTCTAGCACTGAATTACTTCATGGGCCTTTCTGGATAAAGAGAGGGTTTTTTTTTTTTTTTTTTTTTTTTTTTTTGATGGCCATATCATGAGGTTTCTTATTCTCAACAACTGTACATAGCAATTCTCATAATAAATCTCCCTTATATATTTGGATGCATCCTATTGGTTTTCTTCCTCTGTCACATTCTGTCAAATATAAATACATGTAAATAGATATTGATACATATTATGCCGTGGCAGCATGAGAGATCTTGGACAATAGGAAGCCTGTAATAATATCAGGTATTTTTCAGTCACCATTAAAATGTAACAATTCTGAGACAAGAGATCTCGAACCAGCAGTATCTGCTTCATCTAAGAAACTATTAGAAATGCAATTTCTTGGGCCCTGCCCTGAACTTGCATAATCAGAAATTACGAAGGGATTCGGCAATTTCTGTTTTATCAAGTTCCAGGCCCAAGAATTCCATGCATGTTAAACTTTGAGAACCAGTCAAGAGCTGGGTTTAAAATGCTTCCTATTGTCCTGGCATTAGGTAGAATATCATAATTTATTATCTTTTTAATTCTAAAATTCCCCAGTTACAAATGATAAATGAGAGCTCTCGCTTTATAGTTAATCAAACTAAGAGGATAATTGAATTAAATTCTCTGAGCTCATTATAGGGAACAGACTATTTTATCATAAAGCATGAATATCATCTTTATTAGGGCTATTACCTTCTTAATTATCATCCTTATAATTATAAATCCATTTCTTTCAAACTCTGGCACTGTTAAAAAAAAAAAAAAAAGGATAGTTTCTGGTTTTCAATATATTTCTTTGAAGCAGAGAACCAGAAGGAAATATTTTATCTTCCAACTGGGAGAAGGTCTGAGTTTGAATTGCACATTAAAGGAACTCTATCTGGTATCCATCCATAAAGCCTGAGGTTTGAGTGACGAGCACAGGTAGAGTTCACAAGTCATTTCAGAATTTCAAGATCTCTCTTTTTTTTTTTGTTTTTTTGAGACAGGGTCCCCCTGTAACTCCAGTTGACTTGGCACTCACCGTGGAGATCAGGCTGGCCTTGATCTCACCGAGATCTGCTTGCTTCTGCTGGGATTAAAGGCGTGTGCTACCACACCCAGGAAGATGGGCAAATTTCCTAGCTCTGGCACTTTCAGTTTGAAAGATGACCAAGAGAAATTATGAATATCATGTTAAATATGACGTGTGTGTGTGGTGTGTGTGTGTGTGTGTGTTCATGTGGATGAGCAGCCACATGTGTGCGTGTGGAGGCGGGACACATGCCTGTGTACAAGTAGAGGCCAGAGACCTACCTCAGCTGTCATTCCTCAAGAGCCATACACCTTCCTTTCTGAGATGGTCTCTCACTCAGTCCTGGAGCTCACTGGTTAGGCTAGGCTGGCTGGCTAGGGAGCCCAGAGATCTGCCCGTCTCTACCTCCTTAGTGCTGGGATTACAAGCATGCACCACCATGCCTGATCTTTTCTATGGGTTCTAAGGATTAAACTCAGATCTTCATGTCTGCACCACATGCACTTTACCTACTGTGCTGTCTCCCTAGGCCCATGATTTGCTTTTGAAGAAAATCCTTGTTGGATTCTTCTCCGAGTTGTGGGGGTAGGTCATTTACCTCTTACTGTAAGTCGTCCATGCTGCAGGCCACCAACAATGACCAGCTGCACAGCACCAATATCATCATTGTCAACGATCTGAAACTGTTCCCAAGTGATGGCCCGAGACTGCCCTTCCAGGAGATTCAGACCTACAAGAGAAGGCAGAAACGTGTCCTCCAAAATTCTGTGATGTCCAACATATCCATGTATTTTCACTCTTGAATCTATCTGAAAATTTTATCTTCAAATGCTTCTCATGGAAAATTGAATATAGAAGGTGTTCTTAGTAATATTTTGCTTTTAGTATGGCTAATTCTATTCTGACAACTGACTCCTTAAGAGCTATGATGAAACTGGGCATGGTGGCACTTGCCTAAAAATTCCAGTAATCCAGAGGCAGAGGCAGGAGGATCTCTGTGAGTTTGAGGGCAATCTGGTCTGCATAGTGAATTCCAGGCCATCTAGGGATACAGGGAGACCTTGTCTAAAGATAGATAGATAGATAGATAGATAGATAGATGATAGATAGATGATAGATATATGAGATAGATGATAGCTAGCTAGCTAGCTAGATAGATAGATGATAGATATATGAGATAGATGATAGCTAGATAGCTAGATAGATAGATAGATAGATAGATAGATGATAGATAGATGATAGATGAAGATGATAGATAGACAGATAGATAGATGATAGATAGATAGATAAGTGATAGATCTAGATAGATGATAGATAGATGAGATAGATGATAGATAGATAGATAGATAGATAGATAGATAGATGGCAAGCAAAAGAACTTGATGGTATCAAGAACTAAATATGGAAGGAGCTCACAGCAATCCTGGTTTAGACAAGTCTATGGGTAACTTTTCAAAAGGCTACATCCACTTGGATTAAATTGCCAAGTTAGAAGTGTTTTTACATATAATTTTGAGAGTACCATATCCCACTGAATGCAGTTCAAGGTACTTATACAAAGCTACTGTGCCTGCCAATGTTCAGTGATGTGAGATGTGGACTGCCTGGCACTTTGCAAAATAGGAGACATATTAGCTTAAACTCTAGAGACGGACTTCTGTAACTAAAGGAATAAAATAAAACCGTCTTCTCAGAACCAGGATGCCAAAGGAAGTCTGTAGAGACTTGCTCATAGCAAGAATCCAGGCTCAGGACAAAGTGATAGAGCATCATCAAACATTCCTCTTTCCCAGTAGAACTGGGAATTGACCAAAGGCTCACATTTTCCTCATCCACCTCAAACTCTTCTCAGACACAGTAGTTGCCTCTGCTTTGTGGAGACATCAGCTCAACAGAGCAATCCACATATCTTATTGAACAGTTATGACCAGCTCAGTCATACACCCATTGTAACTTGGATTGTGGATGCCACTCAAAGATTCATGTGTTACAGACTTGGTCTCTGGGGTGGCTGTAATTGAGGAGGTGGGCCAAGGTGAGGTCTTAAGGTCAATGGGGGGGGTCTTGAAGGAATCTGCAAAACTTGGTCTCTTCCTCTTTCTCTCTCATTTTGCATCTTGCCATGAGATGAGCATGAGATGAGTTTTGCTTCACCAGCATCCTGGTGTGCTGTCTCACCAGAGGCCCAAACAATGGGACCAACTAATGGACTGGAAGCTCCAAAATAGTGAGGCAGAGTTAACCCATTCTCCATAAGGTGATCACCTCAGGTATTTGTTGTAGAGACATAAAACTGAAGTCCCTCACTCTTCTTTAATAAAAGCGGTACAAAGAGAGAGGAAAAGAGCCAAGGAGAGAGGGAAGACAGAAGAAGGGACAGGCAAACACATGCAAAAAATCTCCATGACTAGTAGTAAGCATTCTAGTTCTGGGGGTGGTGCTGGGGATTGAACGTAATAGGGGTTTTGAAGTAATACGTGCACACACAGCACAGCACATGCAAGGTATCACAGGATGTATGAAAGAAACATCCAAGAAGACTAAACACAGAAAATGCTAACTGTGATCATGGCAGAATAGTGAAGAGTTAGCATTCTATTTAACATACTCTCTAATTTTGCATGACAGCATACACTAAGTTCATAATAAGTAAAAATTAATTTTCAAAAGACTCCTAATGTCCACAGCAGCCAGACCAGATGTGGATTTCCCTTAAGGAGCCCAAGTACTACATGTCACATGTACAGATGGCTCCATTGTCTCACTTGAGCACAATAACTTAACATAATATGCAATTGCTATAAAACTTGGGGTGACCCACTCATTTTATTTTTCTTGTTATCCCTCTAATAGAGGTAGTTAGAGAGCGGGACAGATCCAGAATTACAAATCTAGTCTGAGAATTTAAATCAGATGTGGATATGTCCCTCTTAACACAACCTACTACCATTGCTTGAAAGTATCTTTTGAATGCTATTGACAGTATTACTGAGAAAGAAAAAAAAATTGAATTCCACATTTGCATCTGATCTAAATCTATGGATTATATCCCGAGTCCACTCAGAATTGAGTGGCAGTGCAAAGCCCTTTTCTTTTCTTTCCTTCTTTCTTTTTTTTTTTTTTTTTTTTTTTTTTTTTTTGTCTTTTTGAGACAGGGTCTCCCTGTAGCCCCAGCTGTCCTGGAACTCACTATGTAGACCAGGCTGGCCTTGAATTCACAGAGATCCGCCTGCCTCTGCCTCCCAAGTGCTGGGATTAAAGGTGTGCGCCACCACGCCCGGCAGCCCTGCTTTAACTTTTATTTTGGTTTCCTTGCAACCAAATGTAAAAAACAGGACAACGGACTCTAGGCTACACTTTGCTACCTCTCAGAACAATTCAAGTTGTAAACCTCTTCTCTCTTAGTCCTACTGCCAGTCAATATCACAAAAAGTTACGTTCTTTTGTCTTTGGTTTTGGCTTTGGCTTTGTTCAGTTGAAAGGTGCCATTTTGGCCTTGAGACTCAAGGATGCTGGGATTCAATTCCTTACCTACTACCTGGAAAAGCAAAACAGAAGCAACTGTCTAATGTTCTTGGCCAGTTCGAGTTGTCATTACCTCATGGGTGAACTGGAATAACACTGTCTTTCCTGACCCATCTACTTGCACTCCCCTTAGAACTACACTGCGGAGACCACATATGCAGTCACACCTGTATTCCAGGACACCCGGGGTGCGTTCGTGTCTGCTGTTCTGATGGATATGTGGACTGTGATGGGAGCACTCCTCTCAAAGAGGAAATCATACACCTCCAGCTCCATCTGTAAATAAACAAGTGCACACGAGTCACATACTACACACACACATACACAGAGAGGCAAAAATGAATCCAGGTTTTTGATGTGCACTTGTTTTCTCTTTAAACTTTAAAATTTGCTTCTATTTTTGTAAATATTTATTTTTTCATTTTATGTGTATGCGTGTATTGCCTGCCTGTAGGTAAGTGCACCCGTGTCTTCTGTCAAGGACAGAAGAGGCTGTCGGATCCCCTGGAACTGGAGTTACGGAGAGTTGTTAGCTGCCATGTGGGTGCCGGGATTCGAACCTGAGTCTTCTGCAAGAACAGCCAGTGTTATTAACTGCTGAGCCATCTCTCCAGCTCCATGATTTGCTTCTACTTTTAAAGTTAATTTATTTTTATAACTAGTCGAGGAACAACACCCATAAATCACTCATTTTAAATGCATATACATTTACCATGTTGTACCAATAAATAAATAAGCTTTCAGGCTTTTCCACTGGCCCAAAGGTCCTCCTGCCCACTCCTAGCCATTCTCTTTATCACTCAGCCTACTCAGGGACCAATAATCAGATTGGGGTCTCCTACACGTACTTTTTCTGGGACCATCACTGAAATGCCCTTCTTTCTAGGTGGATCCCTGTGCTTGTGTATCATTGTCTTCCCATCCTCCCTCACTTTACCCTTACTAGTATCTGGTACCACTCTTCTCTCCGCTTCTTGTCTGTTTTTGAGACAAAGTCTCCTTATGCAGCCAAGGCTAGCCCTGAATTCTTGTTCCTACAGCCTCAACCTCCTGAGAGCCTAAACCACAGACACGTACCACCACGCCAGGCATTTTGCTTCCATTTTGACAGCATAGTTTCAAATTTTCAGGCTCCAGATTTTGCTCCTTTGTTTATCAGCATTTTTCTTTTATTTCTCCATAAAAGAACTTATTAATTTGAAATCGGCAAATGTGTTGAAGAAATGTCCCTTCCTTTGTTGACTGTCTTACATGAACACCAACACTACTAAAATTTTTCTCTAAGGGAATAGCTTTATAGCAGTGGTTCTCAGTCAAGGCTACTCTGTCCTCCCAGGAGACATTTGGGACTGTCTAGAGACATTCTTGGTTTATAAATAAGTGCATGGCTTGGCAGATGGGTGTATGCTGTTGGCCTCTAGTAGCAAGAAGTCAAGAGTGCAAACATCCTGGCCTTCATGCCTGGGGCAGTGCCAAGTGTTATCTAAGCTAAAACAATGGTGCTGATCTTAAGACCCTAAGCAAAGGCCATCTATGCCGCTAGTATATTCTTAAATATTAAGATTATTTTTGTTCCTATGAAATCCATAACTCTGTGATAAAGTTGGGGCTTTATAACATGTTATGGACATATTGTGTGAGACAGTGAGAGAAGGGTGGGGTGTGGCACAGAAATACAAGGCACATTGCCTATTCTTGAAGAGTGTAGAATCAACGGTAAGAGAAGTACCAACAGCAATGTAGCCACAAATACTGAATAAGAAGCAGGTAACAGTGCCAAAGGAAGGAACAGACCCGAAGGTTGAAGGAGCAGAAGCTGTCTTGTTCAGAGATGTCACTTAATTCTTAGGCTGAGCCCTGGCTCAAGGATTTCAGCCCACAAACTTGAAAACTGTGGTCTCCACTGAGAAAATTGAGAATCACCTTCTAACAAGAAAACACGCACATTTGGACAGGTTCTGCTTTAAATTGCTTTACACAAAGCCAGGAAACAAACTGAGAAAGCAGCCAGAGTGACTGTGCTCTGTGAGCTCAGGGTAAAGCCAGATGTGTAATGAGAAATTACTTCACAGCAGGGAAGGAACAGGAGGCAGGGGGTTGGGGGGCAGGCAGTAACAGCTGCACATGCATGCTATTAGGAGTAGGAGGAGATAAAACTTAGAGTAGGAGGAGATAAAACTTGAAGGTGGTGCACAGCATTTTTACTCCCAATTTTTGACTGCCCTTGGGCTAAATGCTAAAAATGTCAGCTTGGTAATACCGAAGACACTTATTTTCCTTAATAAATCAGGACTCCAGTCTGTGTCAATCTGCTCATTAAAAGTTTTCATCCTGTTTGACTGAACTTGCTGGTAGGTCTTTAAGGATGCGAAGTGTTGTTATTACATGCAAGACTCTAGCCAGGTGTTCCCTTCTACCACTGAGCACAAAACAAGCAAAAGAGGACTTAACCCACAAGAAAAAGTTTAGATTAGACAGGAGGACTTCCCTCAGGCAAAGTGTTTGATGGTGAAATCCTCCGATGAGACTGGGGACACCCCTTTCCTGAGTTGGTGTTATTAATTGAAATTAAAGAAACAGAAAGGTGGAAGAAAGAGGAAAATTACAGGGTAGTTAGGAGCCTGGAAACAACCAAAGCACAATATATATACATATATATGAAAATGCTAATTGTGCATTAGTATGCACAATTAATATGCATTCATGTTTATATTAATAAATTTTAATTAAGTACCCTATAAAAACTCTTAAAGCAAAAAGAATAACATAATTTATTATTTAAAATAGACAAACTCATTACTAGTTTAAATCATCTATGGAACAGAGGAAAGCTAACCAAAGGCCCCAGACTTCTCCAAATGACCAAACTTGGCCCTCAGAAATATTTTGTAACTGGCACAAAATTCTTTGAAATTTATAATTATGTTTCCCATATCTAAAAATTGGGAAATATAGAGCTGGAGAGATAGCTTAGCAGTTAAGAGCACTGGTTGTTCTTGCAGAAAACCCAGGTTCGAATTCCAGCACCAACATGGCAGCTAACGACTGTCTGGAACTCCAGTTCCAGGGGATCTGACACCCTCTTCTGACTTTTGAGGGCACTGCACGACATGGGTGCACTTACATGCATGCAGGCAATACATTCATACACATAAAATAGAAACAAATAAATCAAAATAATTTAATCGAAAAATATTTTCCAAAAATATAACTTCTAATTCTCTGGACAACTGAGAGCGACAGCGACAAGGGACCTACCTAGGCCCTGACCTGACAGCCATCAGCTAGAGCTGAAGCTCCTGCTCCCTGGGGACACAGCCCTTTCTTCAGTTTGCCTCACCAGAGTCTCTCAGGGGGCTGCCTGGCTTCTGAACTTCATTTGCATTCTGGCTTGTGGGGACTGACTTTCCTGAGAAAATGAATATCCTAACAGACCTGAGGGTCAACAGAAGCAGACTCTCTCAAGCACTTCTGCCAACATCCACCAGCCTGGGCCCTCCCCTCTCTTCCTTCCTACCTTGTAATGTCTCCTCTCTGAATGGCTGCTGTTTGGTGGCTGATAGGCAATCTGCATGTCACTGAGGTCCTTCCAGGTGAATGAGGAGATGGGTCTGGTGTGATCCAGCAGGTGAGTCATGTAGCCCTGGAGCGGGGCTTTAGTGATGTTGAACACCAGCAAGGGCTTGGGGGTCTCGTCCTCCTCACAGTCCACAACTGAGGTAGTCAGGGAGGTCAGGATGAACTGATCCACTTCCAGAATAAACATGGCCATGAAAGCAGCCCTCGGGATCTGGTTGGGAATGCCAGCTCTGATAGAGACAGGCAACCACGCACTCTCTGACTTTTGAAGGAGAAAGAAAATTAAAAGGAGGCAATAATACGTTTGAAGCTGTAATGTGCTGGGTCAGCGGCATGACAGTGAAGCAGTCAATGAAGCAGTGGCCCAGAGGATGGTCCAGCTGTGGCTACCAGCTGCAAGTTAGATTCACCTATGATAACACCTGGTCATCACAGGTGACGACCTTCAGACGTTCTCATGTAATTGTTCAAAGGAGAGAACTAGAGAACTGGTATTCTTAGAGCTCCCCAGTGACTAATGCACAAAAGATTTGGGAAAGGGCTCCTATTTTGGTGAAAGATATTTGCGATTGTATCTTCAGTACTTGTGTGCTGTGACACAAGTTCTCTGTCTCAGGTTCCCCCACTTATAAATGGAGACTCCAGACTCCTAAGCACTAAGGACTAAATGAACAGTGAAATTTGGTACATTCACCACCAACCTCCTCTGCCCACCATGTCCACCTCTGGTCCTATGGCTTCAAAGCAGGCAGGAAGGATGAGGGACAAGTGTCCTGCCCCTGGAGGAGGGTTGTCCAGTTGTCTAATAGAAGAAAGGGATTGCAAGTGACCATTCAAGCTGAAAATGCATCCTCCCCAAATGGGAACCTTTAGTGAGAGCTTTCCACACTCACAAAGTACAGCAAGGTATCGATGGTCTCAGTGAGGGCTGTGGGAGGGAAGATGCCTCAGAACAGTAGACACTGACTGTCACAGGACTGATGTGCCCCATTGTTGAGAGAACCAGGTTCCAAGAGCAAAGACACATTAGTTCCATGACACAGAGCTCTGGATATTGGGCTACGAGTGACCATCTGTATGAAGAGAAGGTTTCAACACAATGCTTCTCCACTTGATCTTAACTTAAAGGCCAAGAATCAATATTTTTGGATTAGTCTCAACTGAAGTTCCAAAAAGGGGAGACATCAGATTTCAAAACTAAGTGAGGCAGATGCTATATTCAGAATTTACATGGGTCTGTTGTTTGCAGACCACAAAACAGTCTCATTCCCTACAGGAATACAGCAAAGTTAGAGATAAAAGATTTACTTGGAGAGAAGAGTGCAATGCTGGTTTCCCAACCACGCTCCCAAACCCCCGAAGGCTGGGCAAACAACGTGTCCCTTGTCTCAGGTCTCAGGAGGGAAGGTTCTTTAAGACAGCCTTACACAGTACACACGGGGCTTGTAGAGGGTGGCTTTGAACTCATCTCTGAGGAAGCTAAATGGCTGGAAACAGATGAATAACGGTGGCTAATCCTTTCTTAATACTTTCAGTCCAGAATTTCCATTTATAGGTGGGAAGGCCCGGAGACTGAGGAGTTAAGGAACTTGTCTAGATTCAACCTGTCCTTTTGTGTGTCAGCACAAGATGTGTGAGTTATGGGTCACAGGGTTACACTGGGGTGTCCTGGTTGGCATCCTTCAGAGGCCAAAAATCCATTAAGTTGGAGATTAAAAAACATCATTCCTAGGGCTATAGAAGAGTCTGCAGGTGATGAGTCAGGTTAGAAAGGAACCCTCCAAGACGGAGGGAAGAGGCCTAGGAATGGAGTTTTCCAGACAAATCAGGAAATTGCCCCTGAGACAACAAAACAGCTTAAAACATCTGCCAGGCTCAGAGAGCAAGAAATCATATTCCCCCAGTGCCTGAGCGAGTAAGACCTCTCTCTGCAGTACCATCACTCCCTGCCCCCAAAGCACCAGTCTGAAAGTTCAGAAACCAGCCATCAAAGCCAGGAAAAAGAGATGTGTACAAGAGAATCAAGGAGACAGCCCTCCTCTTCCCACAGAATAATGATAAAGACACCCCAGGGACCACAAGATCTGCCCATCACGTCATCAAAAACTGAAGATGTATAATTTGGAAATTCAAGAAATGATAAATCATCATTTATCCTAAATATACTTAAATGATAAAGGGCTCATATTCAACATTGAGACCAATTAAGTCTAGAGTTAAAACTAAGTAAATATATTCTTTTAAACATGCCCAAAAAATGGGTACAGATGTCAATAGTGCTTGTAAAGATGGATGATGTAAAAATGATAAAGCACAACAGCATTACACTAGAACTGAAATTGCCAATGGTACAAAAAGAGCCCTGGAACTGCCAGGAGAAGATAGATAGGGGCTGGAGAGACGGCTCAGCAGTTCAGAGCACCGACTGCTCTTACACAGAACCCGTGTCTTCTGTAACAACCATCCATAACTCTAGTTCCAAAGGATCTGACGCCGTCCTCTGGCTTCCGTGGGTATTCATGACATGAGTGCACTTACATGCATGTAGGCAAAACACTCATACACATAAAAATAAATTTAAAATAACAAATTTTAGAGAGAATAGATTGGATCAATCTTCATCACATGTAAAAAGGAGGTTTTTTTTTTGTTGTTGTTGTTGTTTTTTTTTACTTTAAACAGTATAAATACAGGTTAAAGACTGCTTTTTTGCTTTCTTGTAATGCTGGGGCTCAAACTCATATACTTCACATGCTAGAAAAAACTGTATCACTAAACAATTATTTCCAGACTTTAGAATATCTTTAAAATTTAAATAAAACAAAGTGATAAAAGGATTTTAAAATAAGTAAAAATAAAGGCAAATTAAACATAACCTACTCTGTAAGACAATAAGTGTGTGCGGGGGCAGGGGGGCACGTGTGCGTGTGTGTTACTGAGAATCAAATCCAGGACCTTACACATACTAAGATAGTTCTTTTTTAATTAAAGAAAGCATAAAATAAAAGGATAGAAAAATCCATGTGTATCTGTTATTACTGTAAATACAGTTTATATTTCCTTAATTGAGAAAAATATTATGAAATTTACAGGAAATGCCCAGTTATGTAGCTCTCATAGGAAAGGAACTTAGAATTTATTTAAAGATGACTAAAAGTAAAAGGATAACACAAATTTATGATGTAATGGGGAAAATACAGGGTGCCCACATTAAATTTCAGATGAAGATGAAATCAAAGCAAGAAGCATTAAAAAGGGAAATGTGTACAGCTGAAACAGATAAGATCTATGAGACAAAAATGCTTGTAAGCAACACTATATTTAGTACTGTTCTGGTCAAATGATTGGAAATAGAGCAGAAGAGGAATAATTACAGAAACAGAAGGAACCAAATTATCATCATTAGTAAAGACATAATTACGGTCTCTGGAAACCCAAAGAATCAAAAATTTCTTGAAAGAACTGAATTCAGGAAAGATGCCAGAAAAAGAAAATTATACCAAAAAATGTGTTCCTATTTATCAATAACCAATGACAAATATCATGGAAGGAAAACATTCTTTGCACCATAGATTCACAAAAATAAACTTCCCAGGACTGGATTTAGCAAGTGTACTCAATTCACATGGAGGAAACTCTACATTTTATAGAACTATAAAGTAACGTTTGCCCAGACGAAGTGAGAGGTATCATTTCTCGTTTCTGAATGAGTAGACTCAACATGGTGATTGTTCTAACATGCGAACTCTTCCTTGAAGAATTTTTCATTTTAATGCAATATTGATTCTTTTTTAAAAAAAATTAGAGGCTTTTAAAAAACATAGCTTAATTATTTATCTGGAACTAAAAAGTAGGTGAGAATGGCTAGGTAAACTTTAAAGGTGAGAGGTGGCAAAGGCCTTCCTCACAGCGTCACAGTGAGTCCCAGAGCATGTCTTGAGCAGTATGGTGCCAGCACAGTAAGAAGCAAAGAAACCTAGTCTTTTTATACAATAAAAGAATTTCCTATAATCTATGGGAAACAAGTTAATTTTTAACAAGTAGTTTGCAAATTTGGAGAAAAACTATTCTTTGCATTTCACTGTAAAATAAAACTTATGAAATGTTACAAAGATAGATGTAAAGAGAATGACCTTTAAAAGTGTAGAGAAATGGGGCTGAAGATGTTGCTCAGTGAATAGAGCACTTGCCTAGCATGCTCGGAGACTATGTGCCGTCTACAGTACTGATAATAAATAAATGTAGAGGAAGAAATTATGAGTGAATGGTCATTTAGTCACTGGGCAAGAATGAACTGTGTAATCATAAAAGTAATAAATGAACAACAAACAAACTTTCACATATAAATTGGATTCCATAAAACAAAATGAGCTCTGGTGAGCATGGTCCCCACCGTGTGTCTGTACGTAAGAAAACGACAGCGATGCAACTCGTTTTCTTCTCCTATTTTGCTGTGTTTTTGATACTCTCTTCCAGTGAGCATACTGCCTTCACATTCATCAATGAATTTGTTTCATAACATGTCCAATTTGTGCCTTTTCAGACTTCAGGACAGGTTAACACGAATTAAACAATAAGCTCATTTATAAAGACAACCTCCCAATGAAACAGACTAAAAATGCAAACAAGCAAATCCTTCAATAAAGTGGGGGAACAATTAAGAAAAATCAGATAGAAAATACCTCTAATTTTTTAATAAAGGTAAGAAACCATTGACAACAAAGGGAGCTTTGTGTTAAAACAAGCAGAAAATAAATATATGCTAGTAGTTAGTAGTCTTGAGTTTTGTTCCTGGCCCATGTGTAAAACAGCCATGTACACACAGGAAGGCCGCGACTGCAAAACAACAAGCTTGGCTACACTGTTCTTTCAAACCTGGCTGATCACAGGCTTTCAGCACTCTGAGTTAGGTACCAGTAACCTCATTACAGATGAAGAAAATAAGATGTGAAATCCAAAGCTGCATGACCAGTTAAACATATATTTGAACCCAGGCAATCCAGGCCCAGTGTTCATAACTAACAACAGACTCAGAAACACGTCCTTTGAAAACAGTTCCCCAACTGATTTGCCTGATCAAGTAGATCACATTTCCTTGAAGTTATAGCAGTTTTCTTTCTAAATCCTAACTCTAAAATTCTTTGGTCTTATTATTTTTATCATTTCTTGCACTATGAATTCCTTTGGTAATAATGTTCGCTATTAGCCTGGGCATCTTGGGAGATAAGCTAATGGGAAGGCAGACTGAAAGGACAAGAAGTCTTTCCCAAAGATACCCTGCATCATCTCAATATACACTGAGATAATTTTCTGAGCTCTTTCAGCAGGTACACTATTGCCCCAGTTTCCCAGGCAAAAATATAGAACAAATGAGCAGTAGAGTAACATACTAAGTATTTCATAAGTTTCATCTACTTTTGGTCATCCTTCCAGCGTGAAGAAATTTAAAGGAGATGAGCAAGGAAAATGGAGCGATTAGAAGGTAGGGAAATCTTTAGGAACCCATCTCCTTAGTGACTGGGCCCATTGTCCTGAAGTCTGAAAGGGCGCAAATGATATAAACTGCTGCAGCTGTGAAAATGGGACCAGGGCTGTCCTCCCTCCAGTGTCTTGTGGGCTTCAGAGGGGACACCCTAATGTCAGGAAGGAAAAAGGGAAACATCAAAGACAAAGTGCCAACCCACAGCTTGAAGTGTGGGAGAGAGGCTGGGGTGTGGCTCAGAGGTGAAGCACACCCTTAGCATGCACAGGCCCCAGGTTTAATCCTCAGTGTGCCCAAGCATGTATCCTACATATACAGATCAGGTGTAGGTAGACAATGGTTAATGTAACAAGTACCCTGGAGATGAAGAGCTACAGAACAAACAAAGATAGAAATTACGAAGCAATTTTATATGCCTACGCTGCTGGTTGAAGCACTTCCTAGCACAACCCACAAGCCTGCAGCTGTACTCTTGGGACCCTTGGGCATAGACACATATGGAATTGGCTGTCTCACGTGAACAAGCTATGGATACCGACATGCAACTCCAGACTCTACCTTGTATATGATTTTACTCCTGCTATCCATGAGGTCCAGTTGGATGGGGATATAATCAATGTTGGGCGAAGGGGGACGCATGTGTTGGTAGCGGAGCCCCATCAACAGGAACTGTTCACAGCTTACTTTGAGACTTCCTACTTTCTTCAGTCCCAGGGCACAGTTTCCATGGGGACACTTGGGTTGTACTCCCAGATCTAGAATGCACAGTGTTGCATTAAGATGGATGCTCGAATACAGTGACTGTACAAACCCAAAACTGGTCCTCTTGCCTTGGCACGTCTCTCTCTCACTGCCCCCAGAGCATTCCTAAGTACCTTCCAGTCACTCACTGACTAGAACAGCATGGTTCTAAAGGTTATAATTTCCTTTACTGAAAAAGACAGTTGTCTTGACAGGCCTTGCCCACTTTGAGGGGAAAAAAAAAATAAAAATAAAAATGGGTTTTGTAGTATTTGAACACCTGTGATGAATAGACCAGTGGCTCACTGCCGACCCGCTCAGCCCAGCTCCTAGCTCCCTTACAGAAGTGGTTTCCTAAGTCCCATTGGTCTTTGTAGTAAACCTTCCCTCAAACGGCTGACCACCTGAACTGGCCTGCTCTGACTTTCTGAAAGCCAAAATTATCTTTAAAAGAATCTTTGTGTCCCTCCCCACTAAAAAAGCAGCAAACCCAGGTTTTTGTTTTTGTTTTTTTTAAATCCAGATAGTTCTGATCCCAAAGTCCATGGTATTAACCACTAACCTAGATTTTTCTTTCATTTTTTTTAAAAATTCTATTTTAATTTTTTTTATTTTGAGGGAGTCAGTTCTCTTCCTCCACCACATGGGTCCTGGGGATGAAACTCAAGTAGTTAGACTTGGAGGCCAGTGCTTCTACCTACTAAACCATCTCACCAGCCCTATATATTTTGTGTGTGTGCTCCTGAGTGAGCATCCATGTGCCACAGTATATGTGTGGAAGTCAGAGGACAACTTAGGGAAGTTGGTTCTCTCCTTCCACCATGTGACTTCTGGATACCAAACAGGTGATCAGGCTAGGCAGCAAGTACCTTTACCCAACTGAGCTATCTTGCTGGCCCTAACCTGTGTTTTTCAACAAGATAAAAATTATGTTAGTTGAGTAGAACTCTTGTCAAAATGCATTTAAGGATATTTCAGTCAGTTTTAATAAACTTAAATATTAAGATATACATACGAGATTCAGGAAAAAAGCTATGTGGCTGATCTCCACGAGGTCCTTCTGGCTGAGATTCTACCACGACCAGTTGGCCATGAGCTGGCAACTGAGTTTTCACTGGGTCCAGTCTGATGATACACTCTAGGCTGGCTGTTCTATCATAATCAAATCGGAGCAGGTTCTTATCAATGACTTGGGACAGCCCATAGAATTCAGTCACCTCCAGCACATTGCTGCTGAGACGGATGATGTTACAATCTGGTTCCAGGAGATAGACCCTCAGGAGAAAGGTCTCCATGAATGTGTCTGTTTCAGTAAATCTGGAGGGAGAACAGAGCCAAGGACATATTTATTGAGGCTCAGAATCTTCTGAGACCTGTGCACTGAGCCTAAAGATTGCTCTTCATAAGCAGGGTGTGGTGATGTCTGCCCGAAATTCCAGCTGAGGCAGGAGGACTGCAATTTGAGGACAGCCTGGGATACGAACTGTTTGAAGCCAGACTGGGCAACTTAGTGAGGCCCTGTTAAGAAAGGAAAGAAGGAAGGCAGGAGAAAAAGAGAAAGGAGAAAGGCAAAACGAAACAAACAAAAATGGCCTTTGTGACACTTACACCTGGCAAGTGGTTTTCATTTTCCTCCTCTACTCTTAGCCCGTGACCTCCATCTCTCTTCTCTACCTTGATGCCAACATCCTTTCCTGCCACTTTTCTCTTTAACCATCTCTCTTTCAAGACCTACTTCTGAACCCATCATCCTGCTATTAAGTGACTGCTGAGAGCTCAGAGCCCTATTTCCAGCACATTCGTAATTTAAGAGCTTAAAGCCTATATAATGTATGGATTGAGTTTCAATTTAAGAGTAAAGAGGTAAGGGGATTCTTAAGTATCAAGGTCTTTTCATTCTTCAGAAATGCCCCTACATAGATGGTCCTTTAAGTCTAATTTGGATGCTCAGCTCAGTATTTGCCATATAAACTAAACCATGTAAACACTGTGCGCCCCCTTAGTGATTCTGTTCTGGGGCCACTTGCAGAGGTCACTAGAGATGGGTTTCATTCTTTTGGGTTTTTTGAAGTGAGAAAGTTAATGAATGATGACTGTGCCTTAATAATGCAGCTCTTCATTGATGTGCTTTTAATATGCTCCAGGCATATTGCTAAGCTCTCCACCGCAACTTCAGAGGAACTTGTAACAGGCATCATCAATCCCACCAATGAGGAAACAGAGGCACAGAGAAGTCAAACAGATTTGCAAAGGGGTTAGAGGGGAGATTCAAGAGAAATAAACATGCTCCCTGGTCCCTTGCCTCCAGCCCTTCTGAATACGCACTTTAACTGCCTCAAGACACCTCCTCTAGCCCTGCCTTACGTGAGCCCTTTCCTAGCCTTCCTGCCCTCTAGAAAGTCAAGGTAGATTTGCAAAGGGGTTAGAGGGGAGATTCAAGAGAAATAAACATGCTTCCTGGTCCCTTGCCTCCACCCCTTCTGAATACGCACTTTAACTGCCTCAAGACACCTCCTCTAGCCCTGCCTTACGTGAGCCCTTTCCTAGCCTTCCTGCCCTCTAGAAAGTCAAGGAAGGTCTGAAAGTAGGTAGAATTCATCAACTTTTCCAGCCCTCCCTGTTTTTTTGCTCCTGTCACTGCATCTTAATTATCTGCCTGCCTTTTGAAACTGACCATGAGTACAAAGGGTATGTGTCTTCATCCTAATGTGTCTGGAGCAGAGCCTGATCTATAGTGGGTGGTCACAAATGCTTACAGAATGACTCTCTGTTCCAGTGTCTTCTTCAATACTGTAACCATAGAATTAATTCTTAAGGGAATGTAATTCATATATCATGAAATTCACCTACCTTTGCTTCCCTGGGCAGCTCACCCACCAGCTTCCTGGTGCTAGCATCTTTCCTGGGTAGGTCCCTCAGCCTGCCACACCTTGACTCCCCCAGGCTCATTCACCCTCCCAGCTCCCCTCCTAGCGTGGGTACTGGCCCATTTCTTGTCTTGGAGTTCTAGACTCCTGGACTGACCTCTAGGCCCAGAATCCCCACTGTTTCCTGATCCTTTGCATCCAGACCAACCCAGTTCCTCCCAGCAGTCCCCAGGAGCCCTCGGGGCCTCTTTCCATCCCCACCTTCCTTTGCATCCCTGGGTGGCACAGACACCAGTTTCTTGAGACCAGCATCTTTCTTGGGCCCTGCTCCCAGGCCAGCCCAGCCTGCAAATTCCTGAGGGCAGCATTTTTCCTAGAGGGATCTTAGGAGACCTTAGGAGAAGCCTGATATCATCTGCGCCTCATCTAAAATGGGCCTCTGTGGGAACTCCTGAAGACAAAAGCAATTAGGTCACTCCAATATAAAATCAAAAGAGAGAACCTGAAGCCTAGACCAACCAGCTTTTCATGCTCAACGAGTAAACCACAAAGGCACATAAAGTTTACAAAAAGAAGCAGACCTAAACTCAACAAAGGAAGGCTTGAGTCTCACACAGGAACCAGAAACTACAAAAGAAATTCACATGTCAAAGTCACAGAGAAAAAAATAATAACATGAAAAACCAAAATAATATATCCCCACCAAGTACCAATAGTCCTCTAAAGGAGTACAATGAGAATGCCCTAGAGATAACACAAGACATGGAACTGATTACTTTCTTATTTGGAGTCTGGCAAATCTCCCTCATGATAACATATAGCCATAGAAAATGCCCAAAAAGTACATGGAATGATTACCTGGCAAAAAGTAAGCAATGATTCTGCACCACTCACCTGTAAAGTCTAAGCTTCACGCTGTCTTCTTCGAGAATTGGGCAACCATTGTGAACATACTTAACTTCATTGGGAAGGAAATGGCAGTCAAAGACCTAGTTCACATGAAGAAACAAATGTCTGTGAGAAAATGAGTGCAAGTTTCATTTCTCCAGCACTAGAGTACTTCCTGGAAAGCCATGCCAGCTATGATGGTACACACTTACAATCTCGGCACTTGGGAAGCTGAGCTAGGAAGACTGTTGTGAGTTCAAGGCCAGCTTGGGCTACATAGTAAGTTCAAGGCCAGCCTGTGTTCAATAGTGAGACCCTGTCTCAAAAAGAAAAGCAAGCAACAACAGAAAAAGAAAACCCATGTTCCATTAGTGGAGTGGCTGTGGGTGTATCTTTCAGCCACCAGCAACTACTTTGCCCCTACCCCCATGCCTACTCACCTCCTGTTTATAGATGTGTCTTGTTTTGCTAATATCTAAATTATGAAAATCCAAACAGATCAAATAAGGGATGATTACTTCTTTAAATAATTGCATTTATACAGACTACAGTGCTTTGTAAATATGTTTCTATTAAACATTTCTATTGACCCCCTTTTGAAGCCTATAACAAAGAGAGGTCTTTCTGTGTAACAGGATGAAAAGGCATGCACTACCCACCACAAACACACTGTCCTGTTTATATGTGTTCTCTATTTCTTTCTTTTTAAAATAAAATCTTTATGTTTAAAGATGAAGCCATTGATTGCATGCACTGTTGTGTTTATGAGAACCAAACAGTACCCATAGCTGTTTCTCAGATACTTGGAAATGACAGCTTTAAGAGTTACGTAAAAACATAAATGGTTAGTGAGACATAGAATCTAAGGGCAATTTCCTCTACTTCAATAAAGATAGTTAACTGCAACACCTCATTCAACATCATTAAAGAAATGACTGCTTTCTTTTAAGAACCCTAGTTTTTAAAGAAATGTCTTCTGCTCACGACCTACTCCTCCTCTGCCTCTTATGACATCACAGAGTTCTGAGAAATGTCCTTGTACTATTCCACAGATACACCCCAGAGTGCTCAGCATCTTTTCCAGCCTCAAACATTTTCAGACAATGTAATCCACCCTGGGAAGCTATTCTCACTAGTATGAATTAGTTTCTTGTCTCAAAGATATCACTGGTTTCTCTTTTTAATTGACAAGCAGGAAGGAGATAAAGGGAAGCCTTTCCCTGTATCTCTGACAAATAGCCATGGCAATAAAGAAACAATCTGCTTTGTTGAAAGAAACATCTGTTCTATGTTTCCTAATATGTTTTCCTTTTATAAAAGGCGACAACCATAATTGTCCATAAATTTACTAACTAAAACAAAGGAGAGCTAAATCCTTTTCTAATTACTGTCTAGCTTTGTTTTTTTCCACTTCAACTGCTTTTCAATTACAATTTATAATTAAATTGTCACACATTCCTAACTCATTACTCACTTTAATGACAGTAAAGTGGTTCAAACTAGAGATATTTTCTTACTGCTATATTTTGTATCAAAAAAGCAAGCTCAGCACTAAACCAAGGTGATTTTCTACCTGGAAAATGCTTTGCTCTGGTATAGGTGTGAGAAGCACTGTGTGTAGGGAAGTCTTGTCCTTGATTATGAAAACACATGGCCATGGACCTCATCTAATTGACTGTCCAGGAGGTTATCTAAGCAGAAAGCACTGGCATGGTCCCTATCCACTCAAGGGGCTTTCCAAATATGCAATAGGAAAATGAACCTGTTGATTCTAAGACAAACTTCAGTAATGAAATGAAAACACTAATTGAACAGATGTTAAACAAAACATTTCTGGGCAAATCACACAAAAGTGTTCATTACACAGCAGGGTGTTGTTAATACAGTAGTCTTGCAGGAATGGGTTCACATAAGCTTCCCTTGCAGCTTACTCTTAAGCTCTATTAAAGAAGAATGTCTAGGCTGTGTGTGTGTGTGTGTGTGTGTACGTACGTACGTGACTACTTATGCACTTGGCTATGCTTAACTGCAAAAACTTATAATACATATATCTTAGGAAAGGGATGAACAACTCTGAGTTTAGAACAAATTTTCCACAAACTAGACTTTAAATGAAAATCTTGTTTTCATTGAAATTATCAGAACTTAAAAAAACTAGGAAAAAGCTAACAATTCAAGAAACATTTCTCACTCTATGAACTTTTCTACTGCATAAATTAGTGCTAATACTTGGTAAACTGGTAATGAAACTCCAGTTTTTAAAAGTATTTTACTTATTATTTTAATTTTACATGTATGAGTGTATTGCCTGCATGTGAGTGCACCTGTATCGTGCAATGACTGCATAGATCAGAAGAGGGTGTTGGATCCCCTGGAACTAGAGTTAAGGATGGTTGTTAGCAGCCATGTGGGTGCTGGGAATCGAACCTGGGTCCTCTGCAAGAGCAGTCAGTGCTCTTAAATGCTGAGTCATCTCCCCAGCTCTGAAATTCCACTCTTTAATGTTAGACTATCCTATAAATTTCAGAATACATAGATTCACATATCCACTTGAGGCACTGTAAATCCATTTGCTGTGCCATATTTACATATGGAAACACATACGCATACACTGAACACTTGCTTCTTCAACTTTTTTAAATGAACAACAGTACACTAGGTGTTCCCTAAGTCAAGAATTTCCTAACCTGCTTAGGCTTTTTGTTGTTTCTGTGGCATATTATCTTCCTAATAGCTAGAATTTTGCTTTAAAATCAGAGAAAGTTTGATACGGAGATGACTGGAAGGTCTGGTTCGGTCTCTAGTCTGTGACATGACATTGTGTTGGGCTGATGATGTTTTGGAGAGGTTGGTTTTGCCTGTTTCTACTCACTTGGTAATTCAAATGGGAAGATCACTGTCCAGTAACAGAGAAGGCGAAATAATTAAAACCATTATAACATCATGGAAGCCACAGCCTGAAGATGACTTCATTCGTCTCAAGAGAAGAGAGTCGTATGTGTTAAGGAGTCAGAAGTTCTCTGGGGTTGGGAGGGAGCAGCCCTCGGAGGCTAGCATGGGTAAGAACAGATTCTCTCCAAATCCTCTCTGACCGAGAGTTTGGCCTTTGTTCTGCTTACAGGGGTATGATGTTTGGGATCTGAGATGACCACAGCAGGACAACCGCTTAGACAACTTGTCCTTGGGCCTGACAGTAGGACTTTGGCTTTTATTCTTCCTCCCAAATACTCAACCTCACCCTTAAATAAATGTTGACCATTTTAAAAACTGCATTGACTGGAAGTGATACCAAATTCTTTAGTCTTTATAAGATACCAATATACATAAGCACAGCCCTGGGTTTCTGCTCCACTCCTCTAGGATCAGGGTCTCATCTCATTGCCCCTCAGTTCTAAATGACCTTTGTAGAATGAGGAAGAAGTTGCAACTACTCAGCACTTGGGAATACAAAGATGTGGTGCCTATTCCAACACTTTCAGATTTCCATCTGAAACTCTTAAAAGTCTTAAACTATTTAACTGAGAAAATCTTAAGATTTTCTTAGCATACCATTCTGGTCTCGGAATTGGCCTATAATTTCAAGTGTGGTAAATGGAATATCTAGAGGTACCAATTTCATCTCTACAACACCCAGTACCATTTGGAGTAACCTTATGGAACATGTTTCTGCAGCAAAATAAAGAGGATTAAATTCACTGTCGGGACTGCAATGGGGGCATTTCTTAGAAGTAGTGGCAGCATCTAGTGTTGAATATTCTCAAGATTATTTGCATTGGGAGCAAAGGTAAGCCACAGTAGGAAGAGATAATCCAACCAGAAGCAATTCTGTCACGTGCAGAGGTAAACTGCTCTAAACAAAGCAATGTGTGAAAGCATAGGCTTAGGAGGTAAGGCTTTACAGTCCTCAAGGAACAATAGACTAATCTTAAATAGAAAGGTCTCTACTCTATGGCTTTGATGAAAGAGGAAATATTTATGCAAACATTTTCTTAAGAATTGTGAATATTCTGAACTCCTCACACTTCTTATCAGGCCCTTACTTGGTGAATGTCCAAGTGATAATCATAGAAAATGCAGTCATGCTTTGCCATTCTGAGATCTCGAGTGTGACCTAAAAATATCTCAACAGAGCCCAACTATGAAGCCTAAGAATCTTGCTATCTTCTCCAAAGACACTTCACTGGCAATAAACTAGATAATCTGGAGACAGAGCAATCCTCTAAGACTGGTCATAGCACAGCCTCCAACCCTCCAAGTGACTGCTCATGTGTTCTTAGAGTGTCTCCCTCCATCTCTCCCTCCTTCCCTTCCCCTAACATGAGAGACTAAGAGACCTGGAACTTCTCACATACATACTCCCCAACAACAGCTACTCTACAGCAGGCCAAGCACCAGATAAGATATATAAGAATTTCCTGCAATGGGGGGAATTGGGAGGGTTTGCTGATAACAGAGCATCATAAGAAAAATTACAAGCATCCATGCAAGCTTGAACACCTGCCTACAGATGTGCCAAGCAAAATTCAGAATAAACCGTGTCCATGGCCAGCTTGTTATTGGAAGCCAGTCAAGAATATTTAAAAACAGAGCCAGTGAGATGGCTCAGAGGGTGAAGTCACTTGTGGCCAAGCCTGAGGACCTGAGTTCCATCCACAGGTCCCACATTGAAGGAAAGAACTGAATCACACAAGCTGTCCTTTGACTGCCAGAAGCACTCCATGGCAGTGTACACACACACCCCAAATAAATAAAATAAATGTAATCTTTAGAATATTCAAAAGTATGTTCTGCTTCTTTGAGAAAAACAATAAGATCCCATGCCTGATTTTCAACTCCACCATTTCAAATGGGAACATCTTACAATACTCACACCTGATGACTCCAGAGACATTGAGAGACATTGCGTCTATGCCCTCCTCCCTCCCACATCATATTCTCTCTCTCTCTCTCTCTCTCTCTCTCACACACACACACACACACACACACACACACACACACTTCTGAACAGAAGTTCTGGAATGTGCCATACCTGCGGAGTGAGCTTCCCCACCCTCTGGGTTATGGGCTCATTCATCACCACTTCCACCCTGCAGGCATCCTTCTCTTTGGGGATGGCAAACTTCAGGTGGTCTTCGGACAGGAAGGCAAAACTGCCTTTCATCACCCTCAGGCCAAGGTTGGTGCTGATGAAGGTGAGGCTGGCAGGGTCGATGCACAGCAGGAGCAGGAGCAGTGGGACCTTGGGCCCAGAGCAGCCTAGAGAGGTCATGCTGCCAGGGCAGCTCGCTCTGTCCGCAGCTCGATGTCCACAGGTGAAATCTGAAATCCCTTCAGCAAAGCACGGCTGCTGTGCTTCCTCGGGGAGTGTCAGCTCGTAGTCCAGGGGGCGAGGCCAGGGGTCCCAACGGCTGTCCTGGAGATCTCACCATGCCCTTTCCATTCATACTCAGACAAGGAGGCCTTTCAGGCAATCCCAGGCTTTTAATAAAACTCGCTGATCACTCCTGACAACGCCGGCAAGATTAATGTGCTTCCCAAGTGCTTTTCTAATTCTGCAAATGGGGGAAGGAGTTGGAGGAAGGTGAGAGACCAAACAGTTTGCGCGGCTACTCGAAGAATTGCTACCTACAAAGAGATCTTTCAGCTGGCCTATAATTTCAGCTAAATTAAAAACAAATAAACTAACTTGACCTCGAGGCCCATCTGCAAGGCAAAGAGCCATTTCATTATCCTGCTTGTAGCTTTGCTACCGGATGCAACAGTCCCCAACTGGGATGTTAACCCAGTCCAGAACCCTGTGGTCCAGAAAGATCTCGCAGCCTTGTGGCCAGAGTACAGGGCCCACTCCCTCTGAACTGGGAGCAAGTGGTTAAGCTCTTTGCTTCCACTTCCTCATCTGTTTGGTTTTTAAACTTTATTTTTAAAATAAAATTTGATTTTTCATGTGTATTGAGTGTACTGCCTGCATGTAGGTAGGTGCACCCATGTCATTCAATGTCCATGGAGGTCAGAAGAGGGCTTTGAATCCCCTGGAACTGGAGTTACCATGGTCGGTAGCCTCAATGTGGGCTTGTGCTGGGAATCAAACCCTGGACCTCTGCAAGAGCATATAGTGCTCTTTGCCTCTGAGCCATTGCTCCAGCCCTGCATTACCTCATTTATTAAATGAGAACCACAGTCTAATTTGTGTCAGAAATCTGATAGAATTATTTGTACATCATTTGAAAGCATAACTCAAAATCAACTAAGATGTCAGCCTAACAATTGGCTCAATGGACTTTAATGGCAATGAAGTCGCAAGAGACACTTCAGCAGAGACTGGAGAAAACGTTTTTTTCCTAAACAAGCTTCATTATGTTCATACATAGAAAGGGCTATGAAGGGAGCAGTCCAGTTTCAATATGTACAGCTAACGACACTTTATGGGCGTGTATGTTTCTATTATGTGCAATGCTGATTGCGTTATAACATAAATGGAATCCTTGTTTCTACTTCAACCACTTAGAATTTCATGGTTATTTCTCTGTTGCAAAAGAAGTAAAGACTATATAATGCAAAAATGTATTAGAATGGACCCTTAAATTCAGAGTACCGGGTGAAACAGTGGCAGTTTGCTACACCTAGAGAAAAGCCTCACACCAAGCCAGGGACAGAGCTCAGTGTACAGCAGATGCCTAAGAAACTACATCTTAGTGATCTCAATAGGTTATTCCACATAGCCAAGGTAAAATAAATAAATGAAAATGAAATGTTTGACAGTGTGTTGGCAAAAATGCCTGTGGCCCTGCTTCACACCCTGCGGTTCCGGCTCCGCACAGCCGCTCACCATGGCCACTACTCAGCAGATACTACAGGCCCAGCAGCTGGCGGCAGGGAAGGCTTCCGGAAGGAAGTAGATGTGAGAATGGCTTGTCAAAGATGGATGCCATGGCCAAGATCGGGCCATGGCTTGTGACAGCAGAAATCTTACCATAAAAATTGGTAACGCTTTGCAACATATAGCTTTCTGGGAGAGATTTGAAGAAACTACAGCCAATGGCAGAAAAAACTCAGACGTTAGACAATTTTGTAGATGGTACATGGCTCACCACGAGGAATGAGCAGGACACGGACACAGCAAGAAACTCAGAAGAAGCAGAGGACTAGCAGGATGTGTGGTGAGCAACACTCCTTACACTCCACGTTATGGAAAAGCTGGATGAAAATCCCATCATCACTTTAGGAAGGAGTTATCTAAAAACCATGAGCAAGCTCAGCGTAATGCGAAAGTCTCCAAACTTGCCCTTGTCTTTTCTGCTTTCTTCTTTTTAATCACTGTGTTTAATTATCTTTGCCACAGACATTTTAAATGCAACTATTTCAAAGCATTGGCCTCATTAAATCATATCTTTGGTCAATAAATGTGTTTGTACTGATTTTACAAATACCTTATGATATCCACCTTTAATACATTAAAGGGAAGATTTGTCTCATGTCACTATTTGAAACCCTTCACAGAAGGCACCTGTCCTTGTCACCCGGGCCGGGGGGGGGGGGGGGGGGAGAAGATGGACCTGTTTTTAATGATGTCAGTCCTAAAATAAAGCTGTTCACAGACTCCCACTGACCGTGCTGTCCCACTCAAGTTGAATTGGCTTATTTGTGTAAAAATGCAAATCTGGTTGCTGAATTTTCACAACAAAGTCAAATCCTTTCACCATTTCCATTTGTCATCTAAGATCACACAAAGAAGCAAACCATTCAGGGAAAAGAGAAGCATGTGACTCCCCAAACCCCGAAATAAAGGGGAGAGCTCCATTTTCTGATTTCAACATGTGGTAGCTTCAAGTGTCTTCTCCCTGCACTCTTCTCTCAGCCGCCTTCATGAATTCTTCCTACAGCAACTTACTAACAGGGTTGGAGAGATGGCTCAACAGTTAAGAGCACTGGCTGCTCTTGCAGAGGACCAGGGTTCCATTCCCAGCACCCACACGGTGGCTGGCAACCATCCGTAACTCCAGTTCCAGGGGATCTGACCTCTGCAGGCATTACACAACATGGGTACACTTACATATAAGCAGGGAATACACTCATACACATAACATAAAAATAATAAAATATTTTAATTACATTTACTTTTGTGTATGTGTGCATGTGTGGGGGCATGCACAGGCCAGAGTGCCTATGGCCAGGGGACAAAATATGGGTATTAGTTCTCCCCTTCCAGGTTGTTAGGCTTGGTGGAAAGGCCTTTACCACTGAGCCATCTTGCTGGTCCCCATCCAACATTTTAATGTTGGGACATTAGGATCCATTCCTTAGGCCTGTTCTGTATCTCTCCTCATTGCCTGGTGATTATTTCCTGGAACTAAATACCATTTCCATGCTAATGAGTTCCAAACTTACAACTAGCATGAACAACCCCCACCCTCCAGCCCTGACCTTTATGGTCACATATGTAACTCTACTTGTCATTTCCACCTAAATGTGTAGCAAGCATCTCCTTCCTCATGTGGCCGAAATCGAGGTCCTGATCCTCCCTCCTTCAGTCTTCCTAGGTGTGCTGGAGAGCTTTAGTGTCAACTTGACACACTTGGGTAGAGGGACCCTCAATTGGGGAATTTCCTCCGTTGAACTGGCCTATGGCCATGTCTGAGGAGCATCTTCTTGATGAGTGATGTGGGTGGGTCCAGCCCACTGTGGGTGGTTCCACCCCTGGGCAGGTAGGTCTGTGTTGCATAAGAAAGCAGGCTGAGCAGGGGCCAGGGGAGCCAGCCAGTAAGCAGCGTTCCTCCGTGGCCTGTGCTCCAGCTCCTACCTCCAGGTTCCTGCCCTGAGTTCCTACCTTGGGCTCCCTGATGACCTGTGACCTGGGAGATGTAAGCTGAATAACCCTTTCCTCCCCAAGTTGGTATTGGTCAGAGTGTTTTGTCACAGCAATGGAGAAACAAACAAGAACACTAGGTTAAGGCAAACTCTAACTTTCTAGTTGCTCCCTTTTTTGTCTCACTCTTGGTACTCAGACAAAATCCTCTTGGTAATGCTGGTTCTTCATGCCAGGCAGACTCACAGTGGATACTGACAATTCCAGCCTCCCAGTATCCAACAAGCCCTTCCCCTTCAGTGCCAACAGAACCTGTGACATTTCAGAATGAGCGTCAAAGGGGATGCTCCCTAAGTCAGTCTCCCAGCATGACTGGAGTCCTGAGAGCAGAACTCACAGCAGAGAGCCCAGCTAAGGCAGGAGTGGACTCCAGCCCAACGCTCATGCTGTTAAAAGAGATATTAATGCTGTCTAAAGTTGCAAGCTTGCAGCGATTTGTTTGTGGTCACAGGAAATTAATGGTCTCTGTTTAAAACACATCCAGAATGCAAGCTCTTCTTCCCACATCATTGTTACTAGCCTGGTCTAGGCTCCTTCATCTCTGTATCTCATCTTACACACACACACACACACACACACACACACAAACCGCCTTAGGCATTTCTCATAACCAAGGCTGAGGCTCACTTTTATCTATTCCTCACTTTTAACCTCCTGTGTCTGTCTCTCGGCACAGCCATGCTTATCATCCTTGCTTTTTCTCAATGAATCCAATCAGACTCTCCCCTCACATCTCCCCCACCAAAGCTGGTTCCTCTGACATGAACATCAACCCCCCACCCCCGCAGCAAGCCCTCTTTTTCCTTTACCATGTTCAAGTTTTTGCCAAAGATCAAATCTGCAGTGTGGCCACACCTAATTGCTCCATAAACAGGTACCCTGAACCCTTTCTCTGTTTTGTTTTTAACCATAGCACCAATAAACATTTAACAAATCCATTCACATATTCATATTAGTTATCATCATTTCCCTCATGGAGATAAGAATTAGGGTTTTTTTGTTTGTTTTGTTTTGTTTTTTTGTCTTTCTGAGACAGCTATAGCCCCAGCTGGCCTGGAACTTGCTATGTAGACCAGGCTGGCCTCGAACTCCCAGAGATCCACCTGCCTCCACCTCCCAAATGCTGAGATTAAAAGCATCCATACCTGGCTGAGAATTATATATTTTTTATTCATGTTTGGCCCCAGAGCTTCGACTGATACATCAGTAACTATTTATTTTATGCGTATGAGTGTTTTGCCTGCGTGTATGTCTGTGTATGAAATGCCTGCAGAGGCCAAAAGAGAGCTCCTGGAACTGGAGTTACAGACAGTTGTTAACCGCCATGTGTGGGTGCTGGGAACCAAACCTGGATTTTTTGCCAGAGCAGCCAGTGCTCTTAAATGCTGAGCCATCTCTCCAGTCCCAGTAAATATTTCCTAAATGAATGAATAAGTTGGAAACACAATAACATATACATCTTCATGCAGACTATAGTTTAATCAGAAGTATTAGTATAAGGAAAGGACTGGCATCATGAGAGACACCATCATTCATGGATCAAGATCAAGATGTGAAGTAAATTTAGCTACTAAAAGTCATCAGGAAAAGAGCAGGTCCCCTTGGAGTCAACTGTACCTACAGCACTGAGATTTCTAACTCTGGAAAATGCCATTTTCCAAGACCTTTGGATGAGTCAGTTCTACAGCC